AAAGCAACTTCACTTTTGAACAGCAAAAATATAAACGTCACTAAAATGAAATCGACTTCTAGCTTGGAAAATGGATTTCCTCGTTCAAGTTTCCCTGCAAAAAAAAGACTTTACCTGATAATCCAGCTAATTTAAATTGGATTTTTGTTATCACAAAAACATCAATCATAAGTTTTTCGTAAAATTCAAGAACTTTAAAGACTTATATTTTTTCTTTAATATTCGAAAGTTGATTTTTTCAAAAGTCAAGTAATGTTTTTTATAATTCCTTGCGTACATTATTTTTTTCCAATTGTGAGTTGGCTATCTTTACTTTTGCCATTAGCAGAAGTATAGTACTCGTACGGATTTATGTATCAAAAAAAATATTTAAGCATCAGTGATGAGTAACGTGGCTTATGGGCAATATTTCGTTATTCAAGTCAAGGAGTTAGAGATTTTTTTTACTTTTAAAGAAATGTAAGAAATTTATATATTTTTAAGTATCTTTTATAACATTTGATTTTTTTTTTCAAATTACCTATTTTTGTTTGCGCTTAGGAATGCTAATGGCTTAGTTTTTTCGGGTTCTACTATTCTTTTTAATTTCAATTTAGGTTATATTTCTAATGAGGGCAAAGTATGCTCTCCAATTAAAAATGCAAACGGAGCGAACAATGTTATGATTTCTAGTTTTTAAAGAGGGTTCTTTCTCCGATTTTCTAGTTAAAAATTGCTCATTGAACCAGTTTTTTCTAATTGGTTTGTATTATGTCAAATGCGACAAATATAGAAAATTCTTGTTTTCCCGAAAATTTATTTAAACTGGTATATCATGCTCTTGGAGTAATTATGATCGCAGTGTGGTCTAGAAGTACGAAACTATATCTACAAAAAAAACTAATATTTCAATTCACAGATGTAGAATTGAATGCTGCCACTGCTTTGCTACTTTTTCGTGTTTGTACCGTTTGATTGGTTTGTTAGTTTGGAAGCTCGCCGCAGTGTAAGTTATGGGTCATTTAGGAGAATGCAGTTCAATAAGTGCTTTTTTACAAAACAAAATCGCCATTTTTAAACCTACTTTTTAATTTTTACAATTGCGCTTGCTGAGAGTTTATTTTAGATTTGTCTTCAATTTTGTCCTAACCCTGTCTTAAAATTTGATTTAAAAAGTCATAAAATTTGTTTACGCTCAATTTTGATTTTTCGCGGTTTGACATTTTTTTTATTTTAATTCTTTACTTCTGTTATAATGAAAGCAACTTCACTTTTGAACAGCAAAAATATAAACGTCACTAAAATGAGATCGACTTCTAGCTTGGAAAATGGATTTCCTCGTTCAAGTTTCCCTGCAAAAAAAAGACTTTACCTGATAATCCAGCTAATTTAAATTGGATTTTTGTTATCACAAAAGCATCAATCATAAGTTTTTCGTAAAACTCAAGAACTTTAAAGACTTATATTTTTTCTTTAATATTCGAAAGTTGATTTTTTCAAAAGTCAAGTAATGTTTTTTCTAATTCCTTGCGTACATTATTTTTTTCCAATTGTGAGTTGGCTATCTTTACTTTTGCCATTAGCAGAAGTATTGTGATCAATTCTTTTTATTATGAACAAAACGTTGTCCACAGAACTCTTTGGCTTAAGGTTCACTTTTTTTGAAGCTCTAGTAAAAAAAAAATTTTTTTTCCTAAATGAGATAAGTATGAAATCTATTGCTTTCTAATTTTATTACTCGTACGGATTTATGTATCAAAACAAAATATTTAAGCATCAGTGATGAGTAACGTGGCTTATGGGCAATATTTCGTTATTCAAGTCAAGGAGTTAGAGATTTTTTTTTACTTTTAAAGAAATGTAAGAAATTTATATATTTTTAAGTATCTTTTATAACATTTGATTTTTTTTTTCAAAATACCTATTTTTGTTTGCGCTTAGGAATGCTAATGGCTTAGTTTTTTTCGGGTTCTACTATTCTTTTTAATTTCAATTTAGGTTATATTTCTAACGGAGGGCAAAGTATGCTCTCCAATTAAAAATGCAAACGGAGCGAACAATGTTATGATTTCTAGTTTTTAAAGAGGGTTCTTTCTCCGATTTTCTAGTTAAAAATTGCTCATTGAACCAGTTTTCTCTAATTGGTTTGTATTATGTCAAATGCGACAAATATAAAAAATTCTTGTTTTCCCGAAAACTTGCTTTAACGTGATGTACTATTTTTTCGAAAGTTAAAAATTTTCAAAAAAAGCCGTTAACATTTTTCCAACTTTCCGTTGGTTATGTTTATTACGGTTTTAATTAGAACAAGAAACTTTAGAAGAAGTCCAGTTTGTAATAATGCTTAAGGCTTTTGAGAGAGTAACTTGTCTGACATAACGTTCTTACTCACACTGAGAACATTTTTAAGCTAAATATAAGCAAACTGAACATTAAGAAATCGCGTAATAGAAAAACATTTTCAATACATTGTTCCCACTTGCTCTACAATAAATTAAACAAAATTTGCGAATCGCTCAACTAAAAACGAAATTGCTCGCTAGCTATACAGACAACAAAGAAACTTTTGACTACAGTAACGCTGAAACATAAATGAAAAAAAACCTAACTTTTTTACTTATAACGTAAAACTTTCATTCATTTTGTAATATTTTGGCCAATTTTTTGCGCATTGGAAAAACTGATGATGAATTTCAAAACAAAAGATGAAATAAGAAAAAAAAAATTGGTAAATCATTTATTTAAATTCTTTTTTCAAAGTTATAATTTCTTCGCAAAAAAGGAATGTTTGTTTACATTCAGGAAAAATTCAATTGTTTGTTCACGTTCAAGTTTGTGATAGTTTTCGCGATCTGAATCTAGATTTTTATTGGAAGGTTTATTAGTTTGGAAGCAGTAGCATCACTAGCTCGAAGCAGTGTAAGTTAATTGTCAAAACATTTCTTTCGGAGAATGTAGTTCAATAAATGCTGTGTTTTCAAAAAAAATTGGTTCTTTTTCTTCCTATTTTTTAATTGCTTTTTTTGAAATTTACGACCCAAAAATTGCATTAAAAGCAATTGGAAATGAAAACTACAATTCTTCGAATAAGAATCAATTCAAAAAATTTATTTTTTTTTGGTTGTTTGTCAGTTAAATTTTAATTCCCCCTCTGGGAGTGACTGTCCGGTTAACTTCTCCAAAACATCAAAAGTTCTCAAAACCCTTTTTTCTCAATACAATGGTAAATGATACACAACTTTCCGTTGCAGTCCCAAGTAGAATTAAATTAGTTTTGCTTTGATATGACCATTGGCGTGTGCTGGAGTTTTTTGGTTGGGCCCAGTTTTTTTTGGAAAAAATTGTCGCAACTTTTGGTCCACCAAACTTATTTTTTGAGCTCTTCCGATGAAAAACTGCGCCTCATGCAAATTTTTCAGGAACTGTTGCAACGAAGGTTTCAAGCCTTTATTGTTTGAAAATCATGTTTGGCCCGCTCTCAAAATTAGAATACATTGGCCCCAAACGTCCTGTTAGAAGTCGGCCTGAATCAAATGCCGTGAAATAGTACCCAATGAAGAACCCGTTGTGGCGAGAGTCGCCTAGCGCAAAATTACGCATTTGCTGACAGTTTTCAATAAGAGACCGCAAGTTTATATTGTTTGTGAAATTAAAAAGAAATTACAGTAAGAGAAAAACATAAAACGACAAATGGTTGAGGTTATTTGTTAGCTTTCTTAAAAACAAAGTCTACAAAAAACGTGAAAGGGATAAAGAAAGCTAACAAATAACCTCAACCATTTGTCGTTTTTGTTTTTCTCTTACTGTAATTTCTTTTTAATTTCACAACCCTTGCCTAAATATTTTCAAGTACTGTTAGGCAACCTGCTGCCTCCTTAGTTTTTCAATTTTCGAAGAAGCTAGGCAAATCATAGACTCAAGGTTTTTTTCTGGACAAATTTCGATTTAATTAAAGTTTTTTATACAGCCTGGAATATTTTGATGCTCTGAACTCAATATTGAAAGGATAATTTTACCTGTGATCATTTTTCCCGATTAATTTGTGTGTAAGTCAAGCACGATATTTTACAATTTTTTCATCGCATCGCATGAGCTGTATTTTACTCTGGCTCATAAATCGTTACAAATTAAAAAGAGGAAACTTCATTGTTCCAAAAACCAAGTTGCTAGATAAAAAATTTGCAAAAAAAAATGAAATTGGCGATTTGCAAAAAAAAAAATGAAAATGGTCAATATTTGCAAATGAAAAATCTGAAATACAAAATTGATCGTTTTTAGCCAAAATCACTTCAGATACTTCAACGATTTTGTTCTGATTCGAGCAGTCTTGTTTGAATCGTTGCTTCTTAAAACATAGCAAACATACAGCTGGAAAATAGTCATGAACACAAACAAAAAACTTGCAATTTTTTGCAACATTAATTTTTTGAAATATCAACTTGCGCTTTTCCAAAATTTTGAATGACCTTTAAATGAATTTCAATAACAAATTATGACTGACACTTATTAAAAAAACCCAATTTGTAAAAACTGGATCAATAGTTAGTTTTCATTCTTCTGGGAGAAGTGAAAATTAAATTTCAATTTTTTTTATAAAATAGAAGTCGATCACGTTTTTCTTGACTTTTACACTTTTGCTGTTCGATAGTGTAGTTTTCCTTTGCTTACAAAAGAAAGAAAGTGAACTTGAAAAATCTTGTCAAATCATGGAAAATCAAATTCCAGCCTCAACAAATTTTAAGCTATTCCTAAAAAAAATCATCACGACATATATAAGAGTCTTCACTACGTTCATCGACTCTTAAACATTTGGCTGCATGCTTTGAAGCCTTTTCCTTCCAGTGAAAACAATTTTGAAGTAACATAACTCAGTTGAATTCTTCGTTTGTGATTTTTGAACATATAAAACAACAAAAGCAAGAAATCTTTTCAAAGTAACGAACTTAAACTTGAAAACACAATTAATAAAGTAGAACTAGCTACCTAAATGTGCCCGATTCTGCTTATTAATTAAAATTGACTGATTTAAACCCCTTCAATTAGTTTAGACTTCATTTGAAAGAGTAGGAAACAACCAAATAAAAATATCGCAACAAAATTCAAATATTATGACATTTAAACTACACAGCACCAAAGAGAGAGTTTTCAAAACTGCGTCAATTTAAGTACTGGCTATGGAAGTTAATTAATCGATTACTAACAATCGATATTTTTGAACGTCAAACATTTACCTGGGCAGTGTTAAAACTAGCCCAGTCATTTTTAAGTTTGAACAACAAAAACAAATAGAACATGTCATGACTCTTTTCTGCAAATCATAAACATCATGGTAGTTTAATGTCATGTTTAGTACTCATTAAAAAATGCTTCAAATAAATGTTTCCTGCAGCTTTCATATGCTAGCTCAAGCATTATAGATTTTTTCTAGAAAAGAGCCAGCATCATAGAGATGATAACTTAAATAGTAGACTCAGCTTTGTGAATTCGAGGTAGATGATTTTAGCCCAGTCAATTTTTTTTTCATATATACCCATGATTGTCCACAAACATCTCTATTAATCGAAACTTCAAAATTTAACAAATTTTTGGAAATTTGACTTGGCGACCGATAATAATTTCTGTGAATTGATAGATAGACATAATCTTATTTGTTGTACAAAGCGCAGCAAATGAACAACTTTCCAATAGGTATTTTATACTTAAATGTTGAAAATAGGACAAAGGTCCCCTTTGAAAAGAACATAGAAATTGACTTTATCAAACAATGAGGCAGTAAATAGAAGACATTTGTAAACATATCAAAACATAAATTTTACTTTGCATTCAAAATTTAGGACCTTAACAAAGTTCTACTGTAGAACCAATTTTCAATACCAGTTTCTGAACTAATACTGAGTTACTATCTAACGAATAGTATAAAAAGGTGAGTTATATCAATAACAAGTTTTAGTTTTCGCATTTGTTTTGAGTGTAATTTTTACACAATTATTTATTTTGGCTGCCGTCAAGTCTTACCATTCTTCTGACTATGTTATGACATTTTGTGGTACCGTTGTTGCCGTCAACAACACAGGGTTAAAACTGTTCTGCGCTACTGCTGACAACGTGTTAGGTGAAGTGACCATCGTCGCGCCGTTCATTTGACCCGCTAAACTCACGCCATTCACACTTTGAACTCCTGTCAAGTTCGGGGGTGGCGACAAATCCGAACCTGCGCCGTTACCTTCAGAGAACACGCCCGACGTAGCGCCGGCTGTGATTCCTCCGTTTCCGACTCCACCGACAAATGCTCCTCGATTGTCGACAGGACTATTGTCGGTGCTACTTTTGCGAGTGGCTTGAAGCATTTCGGATATTAAACTGTTACTCGGTATTTCGGCCGAGTTCTGTTTGAACACCAAGTACTCCTCAAAAGCACCGGCAAGAGCAGACAGTTCTTTCAGCTGCAGAATGAGGAACTGGAACCGTTCTGGTGACTCCGGATGTGTTTGTAAGCAGTAGTCCATTAAGCAGGAATTGATGTGCTGTTGGCTTCTCTCAACGTACATTTTGTCCGAGAGGTTGGCAACATCTAAAAACAAGAAGCAAAACTGAATCCTGCTTAAGCTTAAGAACTCTTATATTGATTCTTGAGTAGTTTGTACTTTAATTCACGAATCAAACAAAAAAGAAGCAGAAAAAATGGACTGGTCAAAGAATGATGAATTGAAGTACAAATAATGATGAATTGCATCGTCTATTTTAAGAAATGGAATCAAAACAGTAAATTTTTAGTATGAGTGTAACAGCAATCAGAAATGTCCTTTTCAATTGAAATACAAAAATTCAACAATTAAAATGAGAACAAAACTACTTTATTATATTAGTTTCATTGTCAAAATTAAACGCATGAGCAGTTAAGCTAACGATACTCAACAGAACACTTAAAAAAGCAGACACAAAGAAATTTATTTTGCTGAAAAAAATCTTGATTTGAAGCGCGGTTATATCATTTCCGCTTGCGAAATGTAACATCTCTGCCTTAATACGATGAGTAAATTGCTGACCGAATTGAAGAAGGATTAAATGAATGACATATTCCTTTATTTTTTAACTACTAAAAAAATAGTTGTATGAAGCACTAAATTTCAAGGCAAACGATAGCACTTTCAAGAGTTAGAATAATAAAGTACCCCGCCAACTTGTAACAGAAGTCTTTCAATAAGAGTTGGGTATTACGGAAAATTAACTAGCCGCGAAATTAGGAATTCCAAATTCCGTTAGGAACCCTTTTAGTACAGTTGCGAATGAAACTTTTTTGACCAAGTGATTAACCAACTTGGTTAACCAAGAGGTGATTAGCCAATTTTTAAATTTATTAGAACAAACTTAATCGAATTTGAAATAATTAATTGTCAAAGTTTTTTGTTACAACCTTCATTTAAAACAGCCTGAGAATAGGCCCTATAAGTTTTTTTTCTGCAGTAACTTAATAAAAAAAAATCAAATAAATTGAGCTGATAAAAGATCAGGAAATTTTCCTTCGTTTCATACATTTCTTATACAAAAATTAATAGGAGATTCATATCAGCGAACTTAAAATACTAACTGGGGTTGAGTAGAAGCAGGAATTTGATGGCTACATATTCATAGAACTCCAAGTCTATGTTTCTTAAGAAGTCAGCTAGCGCAATGAACTTCTCAGCAGCCTCGTGGAGTCCATGCAGCTGCAGAATCCTCACATCTAACACGTGACCTAGAACAGAGGAAGATCATTTAGAAAAACTTTCTAAAATGGAAAACTAGAGGTTTGAGTATCCGGAGAGTATATTGACTGACTAAGGAGTACGACGAAGTTTTTCAAACAGCATATATATTCCGAGCCAAATTTCTAACAGAGAGGCGAAGCCAAATTTCCGAACACGACAAAAAGCAGCTCTACAAGGTTCAAAAATACAAAATTAGAAATAGGCCTCGAATTAGTTAAAACTCGGCTACCTCTGAAATTCCAACCAGCGACCTAGTGATTACGAGCTGACACATTAACCACTCAGCCACGGAAGCTTGATTGGCACCAAAAACTAGCCACAAATAAAGAAGAGTTTAGATGCTATGCAATTTCCTATACTACAGTGAAATTTTCAAATAATAAAACACTTTTGATGAACATTTTTAATTGTGAGTAAGTTCGAAAGAAGGTTCTCAAGAAACTGATCGCAAGTGAAAATAACACAACCTTATGCTTTCTCAACAAAGTCAAACACACGTGTACTTCTGCTTTTTTTTATTTAAACTTGAAAAGTTTTTAAATTTGACAATTAAATTTTTTACAATTTATATTTCATATTTTCCAAAAAGAACATAGCCAATTGAAGATTGGAAAAGAGTAAGGAACACAAGTAAACATTAAAAGAACACTTTCCTTAAAAATCTCAACTTTCGAATTTCAAAAAAAAATAGATGCCCTTTAAGCTCTTTGAATGTCTAGAACAATTTATGACTGGCACTTTTTTGTTAATATGAACCCAACTTGAGAAAACTGGATCAATAGGTAAAACTTTTATTCCGCTGGGAAATCTTAAAAATTAATTCCACTTTCGAAACTAGAAGCTGTTCACGTTTTTTTGCGCCAATTCCATGTTCGTATTTGGAGAGTGCTTTTTACGTCAATTTCATCAAATGAATTACAATTGAGCTCAAAACGTGCATTATACCTAATGGCATCAATGTTTTAAGACTTTTTCCTGAAAAAATTTTTAAAAAAATCAGCAAGACCTATAAAAGAGTCTTCACTATGTTCATTACTCTTAATCAAATATCACCAGATCAAGAACGACCCAGCCATTATTTAACCCTTCCATGATTATTAAAAGCACATTTGCCAAAGTCAAACCAGGCCATGGAACCATGAGAAAAATGAAAAATCTGTTTTTTTATTTGCTTTCAAACATCTTGAGTATGGAAACTAGCAAGCCTAAGATATTTGAGAAAAGGCTCTATCAATTGCTTTTTTGTGACTAAGAAGAAAGAATGCAAAAACAAAAACATAGCCAACCGACAGTTGGAAAATAGTCAATGACAGAAAGTGAACAAGAAAAATACTGACTTGTTTTTTGAAAAAAACCTCAACTTTTGAATTTCAAAAAAAGATAGCCTTAAAGCTCTTTGAATTTCTAGATCAATATATGTCTAACTTTTTGATAAAAATGACCCAATTTGAGTAAACTGCATCAATTACAAATGTTTTTTAGCACTGGGAATTGTGCAAATTAAAATTCACTTTCGAAACTAGAAGTCGATCATGTTTTTCGTGACATTAACACTTTTGCTGTTCGAAAATGAAGCTTGCCTTCCTTTAAGCAAAAGAAATGAACTGATTTAAAGAGTCAAAACTCAAAAAAGTAAAATTTGAGCCTAAAACAAAAATCATCACGACCTATAAAAGAGTCTGTACTACGTCCATCGACTCTTTATAAAGTTTTTTGAAAAAATGTTTAAAAATTATAATAAAAATTTTGTAGTCAAAGCTGTGACAACTAAGTCGACAAAAGCGAACAAACGATAGGCCGATAAAAATTCTTTTCAAGTCGAAAAATTTCAGTTTTACAAAGACTAGCTCGGATTCGAACTCTAGACCTTCATCGCTTCAGGCACCGATATTATATCCGCGTCAAAAGTGCAAAATATCACACTTAAGTTGCATTTTTTTCAATCAAGCTATCAAATGATTCAGTGATTGTGTTAGACAAGTTGTTAACAGGAAAAAGTCTCAGGTGTAATAATCTCTGAAACCTAGCTAAAAGTAAGTTTGACTCACCTGTGATGAGAACAATTCTTGGCGCGTGAGAGCTTGGCGAATGTTTTAGCTGGCGGTAGATGTGGTCAAAAAGAACTAGATTTGACCAGCTGCTCTGAAGTAGCTTCATCTGATCTTCCACCTAAAATGAAAAAAAAAACTATCTTTACTGTCGTGAAAAGCTAAACCTTATTTAAAAAACCCAGATATTCACCTATGAATTTTCAGGAACTTTTTATTAGCTTAGAGCTTATTTTATGATTTTGGCTTTTTAAACACAACTTTATGAAAAAAATGCTGTGAAATAACTGTTTCGAGAAACTCGGATACATTCATAAAACAACAGATTGATTAGCAAAAGACTTGCTACAATGTTGAACATTTTAAGAGAAAACCATCGGTAGTATTTTGTGATGAGCTTTTCATTCAGATGGCAAAATGAACGAACTGTACCTGTAGTTCCTTGAAGAAGCATGAAGACCTTGCCCAGTCCACAAAGCAAAAGAGAAGCTGTTCAAGACCCCTCACGAACATCGAAAACGGACTTCCAGACTCCATGTAGTAATGCCAGGAAGACATCACGCGCGCTCTTATAGTTTCAGTAAGCGGCTCACTGGTCGACAACTCAAGCAGCAGTTTCGGTGGATTAACATTCAAAGCTACTTGCCTCATCCTCGGAATCTGAGAATACTTGTCGCCATTTTCGAAAAACTGATTTTTGCCTTCTTTCATGGGTGGCGATGGTGACATTTTCTGCTTGGAAAAGTCATTGCTTCCGTTTAGAAAAGCAGTACTGCAAGTAAGTGTGTTCGGCGTGGCGCCGTTTAGAGAATTGGCAAAGAATCCGGCTTTGATTTGATGCGTGCTAAGAGGTACTGAGTTGTTGTTCATTGATCCTGTGTGCAAGAACGCAAAGTTCTGTGACATTGAACTGGCCGCTAGCTCCTGTTGCTGTTGGGAAGCCAGAGCAGCTGATTGGATGTAATGCTGGTACTCTGTTGGAGATATTAAAGTGGGAGCTGACGTTTGTGTTTGCAGATTGACTTGCTGCAGGTTTGACATCGAGTAGACATTGCTGTACATTCCATGATTTGCTGCACTGGCGTGATTTGCGGATATTGATGAAATGACTGCATTATGCATGTGGGGTTCCAACTTTATAGCACCCAGCGACTCGGTTGAATCATTGGATCCCATCATTGCTACGGATGTCGGACAGTACCCGGATAGATGTCCAGACACTGGGGCCACTGGCGGGCAAGGGACCACTACTTGTTGGGATGTCTCCATAGTGCCTCCTTGTGTTTGAATTTTGGAACCTGATAATGAAACTATGGAAATAAGACCATTAAAAAGGCAACTAGATAAGGATTTCAAATATATTCATAAATGCTTTTCTTCCACAACACGTCTGAGGATTTTGGAAAAAAATTAATTTACATCGCTTTTTACACCGAAATACAACTCAAAACTTTAAAAATATATATATATATATATATATATATATATATATATATATATTCATCAAACTGTGTAACATTCAGAGTTATTAATTAGGAACTCTGCTAAGACGTTCCCATCAAAATTAAGGACCTTAGAAAAATTATGAAAATTAGAAAATTAAATGGAACTTTGGATTCCGGTGTTTTTTTCGCACGTAAAATCATTTCTACAAAAGAGCGCCAGATCGGATCGAGTTAAAAGTGATATTTCATTTTGAAACTATTATCTAGAAAATCTAGAGCTGCAATAAAAAAATGCCGAAATACACTGCTGAAGATTGAGCTAAGACACTATCGAAACTTAATTTGTAACTTACACACTCTCAGTCAATGACGAAAAAAGTTCGCTACAAATTCCGGAAAAAAAGATCAATATCTGGAATATATTCTTTTTTGAAACATGACAGCGATCGGAACATTCTGTGAAACTTGCACAGATATTCTTTACACCTGTTCCATTTTGAAAAGGTTCGTACAATTTCATTTAACTTATCATTTGAGCAACCTTGTGATAAAGCGGCTTGTATTTGTGCTTGTGCATTGGCGTGATGATGGTGGTGGTGGTGCATGGCTGGACTGTGCATGGCCACTTGTATCATCTGCTGTCGGATGGCTTTCTGTTGCTGTTTGATGGCTCTGTCCCGCTTGTACATGGGCCCGAACTTATTCCTTCCTCCTCTCATTCTATCAGCACGGACAGCTAAAAATGAAAGATTTTAATCAAGATTTATTATGTCATTTCAGACTATCATTTCAAATGATATATTACCGTATTAACGAACTATAAAACTCTTTATCAATGAGACAAGGACCTAACTTGTTTAGAAGTTCATGTAATTGGATGTATTATGAGCAGAGAATTTTTGCCTTAAAATTATGAACATTGCCTCAGATTCGAATTTAGCATCTACTGATTGAAGGCAATATATACGCGTTCGAATAATTTAAATCAGTACTGTACTCGCCAATGAAAAATTCGACAAGTGGAGAAAAATCTTCTGCAGCCATAACACCATAGCCAAGAACTAAACGCAGATTTTGCACTAGTTCAAAAACAATGAAGAGCACACCGAGCGAAAGAGCACAGAACACCCTGCTAAATTAAGACTAAGGAATACGATTTTAAAAAATCTAAAAGCCAACATTTATTGTTTTCCAGAGGGAAGGCGATGGAATTTGAACAAAGCGACAAGTCAATGCTGGGACTTAATTAGATGAGCACTTGGAAATATTCTGTCAATGTTTTGGCAACTCAAGATCACCAATTGAAGAAGCTACTTAAAAACATCCACTCCTTAGAGTACTACCCAGCGGCTAAACAATCAAACTGATTTGAGCGCAACAAAGTACAGCCCAGAGCATACTTTTTAATTACTAGCCATATTCAACTGTTTTTTTTTTCGTTTTTCACGATGCAACAGCTCATTAAAACTGATTTAAAATGTCAGCAACATCAAAACCTAATAGGAACAACGCTAGGACAAAAACTAACAAAAAACTAACTTAAAATGGGATTTATTGAAGATCATAATTCGTGAATTTTGATTCCTGAAACGCTAAACTTTAACTATAAGTTACAAATACGATTTTGATACAATGAATTATACACGATGCAGTTTTAGGATCTGGGATAAGTCTCAAAAAAACTGTTAAACCTTTTAGATAGAGACCAAGTTGTTTTTCCTGAAAAGACTCAAAATTTGCAGTAAGCTATCAGGGTGGTAAGTAAGGTGAAGGTGATGAAGTCCTTGATGAACTCCGCTCTCTTACCCAAAATCACTAATGCTTCAAATAAGACTTGAGTGAATCAAGATCATGCACATCACTACGATTAATTTGAAACCATCCCTTCCATTTTCCTTTTATTATCCAACTGTAGAAATCTACATAACGTTGTACAAAAAAAAAACAATTTACAACCTTTTCAGCTAGGGAAACAGATTATTATTTTTTGGCGAAGGTGTGAAAAGTCAGCAGGTGTTCCTTCACATTACACTTGTAAGACAGCCAGAATTAGCATTCTACGTCTCTTTGAATGACAGTCCTTTATTCTAAACTTCATTTCTCAGTCTAGTCAAGTAGAATGTAACTGATTAAGAGTCTAGGCAATTACAACTCACTCGATTGTTTTTCTGACTTGCAAAGGGCACTTGTTAGATATCCTTCTCATCACTCAAGTATCAGTTATCTGTCTATCAATTATTGTTGCTTTTATTGTACAAATCAAAGTAATCGAGCGCTACTAAAATGTAAACTCATCCTCTTTCAAACAAAAGTAAAGATAAAACATTTGAAAACTATATAACCCATATTTAATCTTGTTTTCTGCAAAAATTCAATGAAAATTTACAGGAATTTAAGGAGCAAAAAATTGTTCCTGGTTACTTCAAAAATAAGGCGAACCCGATTTTTTTAAACCGAGCTCCAAAAATTAACTTAAGATTGAATAATGCTAGCAATAAACTAATCCTCTCTACAACCATTCGTATTTTCCCCGTGTTTAATCAGATCAAAACTACTTTCTAATTAAAACTCTTTAGAAAATGTTTAATTTCTTATTATATAGTGACTAAATACGTTAAGGAAGATGAACTCGGTTATGGCTCTCTGATTAAAGAGCGCTAAATAGAGAGTAATTTGAATAAAGGGGTAGAGCTTAGCGCTTTTAGCACAGAATTTAATTTCTCATCCAATATTAATACATATTTTTATTAACACCTATTTTCAATCTAATAACTTTCTCCTAATTCAACTATCTTATTTCTCCTTACTGACTTTTTTAAATGGACCCAGGGGAAATTCCATAACAAAGATATCATGATACTGTTCTGAAGAGCAGTTAATTTTTGATATTAGATATTATTCCAAACAAACGCAAACACAAAGGGATAGATTCAGTTTCTCCAGTACCGCAACAAGGGGTATTAATGCACATAAAACTGATTCATTGATGTTGGAAGATCATCAAACAGATTGGGTTGATGTTTATCCAGAAAAACTCTGATTGGAGCGTAAAATTGATTGTTTTTTTTCGATTGTGTCTTTTATAAGTTAAATTCAATCACTTCAAAACAAGGTTTTTATATGATTGACACAAAAAACTAACCCAATTTGAGACAACTTGATTCATGTGTAATTTTTAATTTTTCACTATGAAAAAAAATCTAAGCTAAAACTATCTCAACTTTACAGCCAAACACCAAAATTTTTACTAAACCACCAAAACATAAATTTGAATGTGAAGAAAAATGAGACCTTTTTGAACGAAAATAAACAAAAAAATCAAACTGTGAAAAATAAATTCAGCAAGAACAATTTCGCGACAAACCATCATGAACACTAGTTTTTCTAAAGCAATTGACAAAGCATAGCCAGCAAACAGTTGGAAAAGAAGAATGAACAAAAAAATAGCAGAAAAAAACTGAGTTATGTTTTGAAAAACCTATAACTTTCGAAGTTCAAAGAAAAAACTACCTTAAAGCTCTTTCAATTTCAAAAAGAATTTGTCTTGGACACTTTTTTGATAAAATTAATCCAATTTGACTGCGGTTTTTGACTCTTGATACTTTTTTGAAACTTTCGACAAAAAATCAATCACGCTGAAGCGCACTAAAACTCCTATGTCAAACACCACAATTAATTTTCATCCCACAAAAACAGCATTGCAAGATAGCAGAGAGGAAAGAAAAGGAGACCCACTAAGTCCCAAGAAAACAGAAACATTTAGGAAGAAACGACAATTAAAAAAAACACATCAAAATGTAGTCTCGAGCGGCGTTTAATGAAAACTCAAAAACAATTATCAAGCGAAAATAAAAATTTTGTCATGAAAAAATTTGAACTAAAAATTAGAATTTGAGATTTGTAATATTTTGTGCGATGTGGAGAAACGTATACGTATTATGATTCGCTCTAGCGACCCAAAATTAGGTTAGTAGGCTGATAAAATCTAATATGAAATTATTTAAGCCGAAAAAAACTTCTTCTAAGCGAAAAAAAAAGGAAAATATACGAAGCCAAGGTTGGTATAATTACAAATTACTAGAGTAAATGAAAACAAAAAAAAGCAATTACAATGAAAATTGCATACGGCAATAAATCTAAGATGTGGCAACTAAGCCAACAATATATAAGCAGACAAATAATTAGCCGACAACTTTTTCAGCGGAACATTTACAGTTTGAATAAAAATTAATCTAGTCAGATTCGAACCCAGGACCTTTGCCGTCCAAGGCATACTCGTTACCTTGAGCCAAAGTGTGCCTGAGACGCTTAGAAATTTGAATTCAATATGAAATAACATACCAAGTGATTCAAGCTATTCTGTTAAACAAGTTGTTAACCCGAAAAAAGTCTAGATTCCGATCTGACAATGCTTGCTATTCGCAACAGTAGAGAAAAAAATTTTTTCACAACTTTTTTCCTAAAACTAATTCAACTTGAAAAAACTGGATCAAAAAATATTTCATAATCCACTGAAAAACCTATAAACAAAAATTATAGAAACTGTAGAAATCTACATAACGTTTGAAAAACTCTGATTGGAAATCTGTAGAAATCTACATAACGTTGTACAAAAAAAAAACAATTTACAACCTTTTCAGCTAGGGAAACAGATTATTATTTTTTGGCGAAGGTGTGAAAAGTCAGCAGGTGTTCCTTCACATTACACTTGTAAGACAGCCAGAATTAGCATTCTACGTCTCTTTGAATGACAGTCCTTTATTCTAAACTTCATTTCTCAGTCTAGTCAAGTAGAATGTAACTGATTAAGAGTCTAGGCAATTACAACTCACTCGATTGTTTTTCTGACTTGCAAAGGGCACTTGTTAGATATCCTTCTCATCACTCAAGTATCAGTTATCTGTCTATCAATTATTGTTGCTTTTATTGTACAAATCAAAGTAATCGAGCGCTACTAAAATGTAAACTCATCCTCTTTCAAACAAAAGTAAAGATAAAACATTTGAAAACTATATAACCCATATTTAATCTTGTTTTCTGCAAAAATTCAATGAAAATTTACAGGAATTTAAGGAGCAAAAAATTGTTCCTGGTTACTTCAAAAATAAGGCGAACCCGATTTTTTTAAACCGAGCTCCAAAAATTAACTTAAGATTGAATAATGCTAGCAATAAACTAATCCTCTCTACAACCATTCGTATTTTCCCCGTGTTTAATCAGATCAAAACTACTTTCTAATTAAAACTCTTTAGAAAATGTTTAATTTCTTATTATATAGTGACTAAATACGTTAAGGAAGATGAACTCGGTTATGGCTCTCTGATTAAAGAGCGCTAAATAGAGAGTAATTTGAATAAAGGGGTAGAGCTTAGCGCTTTTAGCACAGAATTTAATTTCTCATCCAATATTAATACATATTTTTATTAACACCTATTTTCAATCTAATAACTTTCTCCTAATTCAACTATCTTATTTCTCCTTACTGACTTTTTTAAATGGACCCAGGGGAAATTCCATAACAAAGATATCATGATACTGTTCTGAAGAGCAGTTAATTTTTGATATTAGATATTATTCCAAACAAACGCAAACACAAAGGGATAGATTCAGTTTCTCCAGTACCGCAACAAGGGGTATTAATGCACATAAAACTGATTCATTGATGTTGGAAGATCATCAAACAGATTGGGTTGATGTTTATCCAGAAAAACTCTGATTGGAGCGTAAAATTGATTGTTTTTTTTCGATTGTGTCTTTTATAAGTTAAATTCAATCACTTCAAAACAAGGTTTTTATATGATTGACACAAAAAACTAACCCAATTTGAGACAACTTGATTCATGCGTAATTTTTAATTTTTCACTATGAAAAAAAATCTAAGCTAAAACTATCTCAACTTTACAGCCAAACACCAAAATTTTTACTAAACCACCAAAACATAAATTTGAATGTGAAGAAAAATGAGACCTTTTTGAACGAAAATAAACAAAAAAATCAAACTGTGAAAAATAAATTCAGCAAGAACAATTTCGCGACAAACCATCATGAACACTAGTTTTTCTAAAGCAATTGACAAAGCATAGCCAGCAAACAGTTGGAAAAGAAGAATGAACAAAAAAATAGCAGAAAAAAACTGAGTTATGTTTTGAAAAACCTATAACTTTCGAAGTTCAAAGAAAAAACTACCTTAAAGCTCTTTCAATTTCAAAAAGAATTTGTCTTGGACACTTTTTTGATAAAATTAATCCAATTTGACTGCGGTTTTTGACTCTTGATACTTTTTTGAAACTTTCGACAAAAAATCAATCACGCTGAAGCGCACTAAAACTCCTATGTCAAACACCACAATTAATTTTCATCCCACAAAAACAGCATTGCAAGATAGCAGAGAGGAAAGAAAAGGAGACCCACTAAGTCCCAAGAAAACAGAAACATTTAGGAAGAAACGACAATTAAAAAAAACACATCAAAATGTAGTCTCGAGCGGCGTTTAATGAAAACTCAAAAACAATTATCAAGCGAAAATAAAAATTTTGTCATGAAAAAATTTGAACTAAAAATTAGAATTTGAGATTTGTAATATTTTGTGCGATGTGGAGAAACGTATACGTATTATGATTCGCTCTAGCGACCCAAAATTAGGTTAGTAGGCTGATAAAATCTAAGATGAAATTATTTAAGCCGAAAAAAACTTCTTCTAAGCGAAAAAAAAAGGAAAATATACGAAGCCAAGGTTGGTATAATTACAAATTACTAGAGTAAATGAAAACAAAAAAAAGCAATTACAATGAAAATTGCATACGGCAATAAATCTAAGATGTGGCAACTAAGCCAACAATATATAAGCAGACAAATAATTAGCCGACAACTTTTTCAGCGGAACATTTACAGTTTGAATAAAAATTAATCTAGTCAGATTCGAACCCAGGACCTTTGCCGTCCAAGGCATACTCGTTACCTTGAGCCAAAGTGTGCCTGAGACGCTTAGAAATTTGAATTCAATATGAAATAACATACCAAGTGATTCAAGCTATTCTGTTAAACAAGTTGTTAACCCGAAAAAAGTCTAGATTCCGATCTGACAATGCTTGCTAATCGCAACAGTAGAGAAAAATTTTTTTTCACAACTTTTTTCCTAAAACTAATTCAACTTGAAAAAACTGGATCAAAAAATATTTCATAATCCACTGAAAAACCTATAAACAAAAATCAATTTTCTTAATTTGAGAGTTATTTTCCAGTTTTTTTAGCGAATGAATTTGAGTTGAACTTAAGAAATCAAAAATCAAATAGCCAGAAGTCAAATTTGAGCGTGAAAAAAAAATCATCATGACATATTTAAGTTTCTTCACTACGTCTGAAAAAAAAATAAAACGACTTTCGAAAAATCTGAAGTAATCGCTCTACACAGAAGAAAATGCCAAACTAGCCAACAGGCAGTTATAAACTAAACAAGAAAAAGAGCAACTTCTTTAAAAATGTTTTTCAATTTTCAAATTAAAAAACGAAAAGCCTAAAACATATCATAAAACGAAAAGGGTTTAGACACAGAGGCGAAGCTGCGTTTCGCAAACACTAGCAAGAAACCGACAAAAAAGCAGCTCTATAAAACGAAATAAGAAAACAAAAGGTAACAATAAGCCATAAAAATTCAAACTTTTGCTATTAGGATTGGACGCTACGACCACAGGATTAAGACTCCTTGTCCTCGCATCTGCGATCTGAGCCAAATTATGTATAAATTATGTATTTGAAAAATATTGCGAGATGAATTAAAATGCGAAATTTCTGAAATTGATTTTTATTTTTGTACTGTTACTTGGAACAGCTTTTTTCGGTTCATTTGATGAATTAAAAATGCATCAATTGTGTTAACTTATTACTAATCGAACGTCAAAACACATGTTATCACAAAGCGGTAGAGGAGCCCCAAAAGTGGCACCAATATTGGCGACTGAGGTTGAAAAAAAAAACTGTCGTACCATTACACTACGCTCGCTAAAACTCGCGAAAGATCAGAAATCTTTTTGCTAACATAGGCAACAGACAGTACGAAAGAGTTACTGAAGAAGAAAACCAGCATAAAACTACTCACTTCTGAGAAGCAGTTTTTCAATTTTCGACTCTCTTAAAATAAATAAAACATAGGACACTGGCTGTCACAAGTGTAATCACCATACGGATGGTTGAATTTTTAATAACAGACACAATTTTAACAGCAACAAAGCGTGTAATCTTACCTTCTAGCTTCATACCGACGGAGAGACATTTCTGAAAGCGACAGTAGGGACACCTCTTTCTCTGAGACTTGTCAATGCGACAGTCTTTGTTCTCTATACACTGGTACACTTTGTTGTTCTGCACAGTCCGCTTGAAGAATCCTGAAAACATTTGTCATTAGGTCAAATCATAACATTAACATCATAAACCCAGGGATTCAATTTCTACCAGTAACCGTTAAGTCAGAGGAGATAAAAGGCTCAATAAACATAGTAAACATCAAAAAGACAACTAGAAAAGAGTTACTGAACGTTACTGAACTCAGGTGAAAGAGTTAGGTGTTGGATTTGTTCAAATTAACCCAAATGTAAAGCCAACCTTTGCAGCTTTCGCACGTCATGAGCCCATAGTGATATCCTGACACTTTGTCTCCACAGACAGGACAGCTCTCTTCTACCTCCAATCCATTGCTACCCTGTGAGCCAGCAGCGCCAGTGCCGGCACCACTTCCCCCGCCCGCAACCACTCTGTGGTCCAGTCCCCCAGAGACCGCTATTCCAACCTGAAAGACAAATTTGTATTTTCTATTCATGTTTTCAAAAATGCACTTGCCGAAAACAGAAGACGCTCTTGCTAAAGTAAATAAAAACAAAAAGTAGCATTTCAATTTTGAGCATTTCTTAGGTATTTCAAAAGTAAGTCAAACCTGCATTCCATTGGCGTCCAGAATTGCAGTTGTTGCCGACCCCGGAGCTGATATGCCGTAGTGGGCCATTCCCGACATCAACCCAGTCGGGTCTACCGTGCTGCCGGGTGGAAACGCCAGGAACTCCATGTTTGACGATGAGTTTGTCGTCTGGTCACGAGCAGTTGACTCGGTCGACGACGGACTTCGATGGTGATCAGGTGTTTCGACTTCGCAGTTTTTGTCCGGAGTCAGATCCGATTTCCGTCTACGTTTCTTCTGATTCTGGGAGTTATCTTGAGTGTCTGGTGTATCAATTGACAGTTGTTGCGGGTGTCTGTTGGCACTGGTCTGATCTGGTGATGATGATGAAAGTTGAGGCGAGGTAGATATACTTAAATTAGACGACACGGAACTTAGCCGACTAGTGTTACTGTGAGGTGAATTTGTGTTCTGCTCCTCCTCTTGCAGTATGGAGACTATTTGTGCGTTGGAACTCGTCGTAACAGCAGTCAATGAGTTTGAACGCTGGCTGAACTGGTCGGCAATATTATTCCTCTGATTTTGACTACTGTTGTCCAAAGTACTTGGCGCATCTAAAATTTTATTTTTTTTTCAACTTCAAAATTTTTTTCGAGGAAATCAATCAAAATCGGGGAACTGTTTGCAAATTTAGCTTGCCGAAATGAAAATTGAAGAAGATTAAATTTTTTGTTGGATCGCAATCAGTATGAAGATGAGAGAATTAGTGCTATATAATTGGCCCAGACTTCAGCCAATAGGAGAACTCTTAAACTAATGACAGGACAGGGAAGGTAGGGAAAATCAGTAGTTTTCTTTGAGCAGGAAATCATTGTTGTTTTCATTTGACAAAGGGAATATAATTCAGGGAAGGACTATATTCAAGTACCCATGTAAGGGCATTATTAGACAATTAAGTCGCTATCCCATTTGAATAATGCACAAATTACTTTGAATCGTTTCTTTTTTGTTTTGATTGCCTAAATTAAACGAATGAAAGATTGTCAAGGAATTCCGTTTCATCGTGAAATTGAATAATGGCCTAATCGACATCATTTTAATCGACATACAACTTTCACAGCGACAGACAAATCAACATCTTCATATGAGCTTGTTCTTGTTCCAATTTTATTTTCTAATTCTGTTGACCGGAAACATGTCAACAATAATCGCGTTTATTTAAGCACGTTTATTCATATCAAAACCCATTGATTAAAAGCAATGTCATACATTTCATTATTTATTCTAATACCAAAAAAAAATAGAAAAAATATTTTACTTTTTCTCGTTCGTGGGGCGCGGGGGGGGGGGGGGGGGGGAGTCGACCAAATTGATTCTCTGCGCTCTCACGAAACCTAATTACATCATTACATCAATTTAAGTTAATACTACTCGCTTCAGTTCATAATATTTAAGCAAAAGTGCGCCCTCTTGTTTTTCTTGAGCTTGAGCGCTCATTGCCCCATTAGGATGACAAAAAAAAACTAAAAGTAAATTACTGAAAAATACTTTCTTTCAGAATCTTCAAGAGCTGATATTTCGAAAAACATTTTTTTGAAAAGCCACTCTCAAAGAAACATCAAGATTGTGATCCAGTTTTTAGTCTTCTTTTGCTAACCCTGCGATTAATGTATATTACCTTAAAATTCTATCATCAGAAAAGTTCCAAAAACAGACATTTGAAAATCGAATGATTTTGATATTTAACTAACCATTATTTGGAGATCCTACATGTTCTCGTGGTGACCTGCGGCATGTCTCCGTTTTGGCCGTATCAAACTCGTTTCTCGGTAGCTGTGGCGATGAAGAGAACTCATTTAGAACTTCATAATCACTCGTTTCGTCACCCGACTCGAAATCAAACGTCGGAGTTTGGTCTTTCTCGCCCCCGATAGAGTTGTCGTCGAACACTGGGTCTTCGAATGATATTCCTGAGGTGGAGCTGATATTATTTTGGGAAATGTTTGTCTGATTTGGTCTTTGGCGAAAGGGAGAGTCAAGTAGCTCTGAGCAACCCTGACTATAACTAGAGGTTGGGGTAACTTGGTTGCTCTCGTTGCTAGCCAACCCTGACGTATCCATGAGAAGTGAACTTTCGCTGAAGCAACTTTTAGTCTGCTTGCTTTGTTCGTCTTTAACTTGAACCATAATTTATTATAGACCAGCTATATATTGTAATATAGACCAGCTATAAATGAGGCGAGCGGATAGAATAGTTAAATAGAGACGCTCAGCGCTTTTCCGATTACGACTTTAAGGTAGTGAATAAATATGGGAACGAATAGTCTTGGCGCTAAGTTAAGGCCGCGTCGCATTTGAAGAAAGAAGATTTGATAGAGATATTTGAGATAAAGGTCATTTTAATCGATCAGATCGAATTAATATACGTCCCAGCGCTTAGTTTCAGCACTATGTTTGGAATATATACATTAAAATCTGAAAAAAAAAACAAATTTGTTATTCATTGAATCATTCCGCTGATCAAATAAGTTGAATGATCTCAGAAAGGGAGTTCAAATCCCAAATTGAAGCTAGACAACAAAGCATTTCTAGCTAAGAATTTCCAAAAAAATTCCAACGAATTAGCTTGATGAATTAATATTGAATTCAAGTGTTCCCTTCTATATAAATATGTAATGTGACCTTGCATAGAAAACAGCGTAGAAAAAGTGGGTTTTTATTGGCTCGAAAAAAGACTAAAACTTAGCTAAGAAATTGAAACAACACAGCATGTCAAAACTCCGTTTGATTCAACATTCACTCGCCTTTCCCGATTTAATTATCGATACTAGGTTTCTTTGGTGGGTAAATTTCAATGTTTATATTTAACTGAATAAAACGCTTTTTCCTATCAGTTTTCTCCAAGTTTCAGAAAAATAAAGGTTGGCTTTATGCTTAGCTGTCAAAACGAAGTAACTGAACAAACACAATTTTCAATCCCATGAACAAATTAATTAAGTTCAAACTCTGATCTGGAAGCAAACTTCGACATTACGAACCAGCCAGGGGTCCATCTTAATAATGATCACGAAGCATCTTTATTGGCACTAATTTGACCTTTCACTGTAACTTTGGAAGTCAACCATTTCTGATCTCCGATTTTAGCGAAACCCTGATGAGCGCTTTGCTTTCTTTTCTCGTTAATCAACTTCAGATTTTTGACAAAAAAAGCTTTTAGTCGTTTATCGTAGCTTCTGATTTTCAACTCTCACAAAACTCCTTCCATTGATATCTAAGTATCCGTTGTTTCTTGGTGATTGTTACCGGTCGAATGTAAAATACTGAGCTTCAACTTGTAAATTTGCCTCAACACTTTGAACGCTGACAAACTAGAGTAGGGCTGTTGAGTCAATGGGTCAAAATATCTCGCAGGCTGGCGTGTCACTGGGCAAATAAGTCTACCGCCATTACGTCCAGTTAATTTACCGCTCGAATCGGAACTGGATTGTAAGTTTGGGGCAGGAAAGTTCGCTTTCAACGTTTTCGCATCTGGAAAAATGATGACATTTCGAGATGTTTTGGAATCGTTTCTGAAACATAACCGGTGATCAAAGAAAGGTGTTCTGTTAACGAACAAATAGACAAACAAAACCACACTATTGACTGTCAAAAGTTTATTAGATTTTTGTATATTTAGTTTTCCTTATTATAACGCCATATTAACCCACCAAAACTCCATTAAACTGAATACCAAGGACATTTGGGTTTGTTTTAACTGTTCTAACCTTAATGGGTTATGGAGATCATTAACTTCAATTGCACTTAGAGCTACGAAGCTTTTAGGTTCCATTGAGGCATCGTCTTTGCACGAGTAAGATTTGAAAGTTATTTGAGGTCCCTTGTCAACTTTTTTCACACGTCGCTTCTCCTTTTTCTCTTCCTCTAGTTTGAGAAATTTTTCTAAAAGAAAGCTTGAGAACTTTATTTCAAAATCAAAACTTGCAAAAAGCAATAGCGAAACCCAGAAACTTTAAAAATCCATATCTATTTAATGTAGAAAAAAATAATAATTTTAAACCCACACCAAACTTTGAAAAAAAATACATATCTCGCATTCGCATAGAAATTCAAAATTGCAAGCATATCGCGTGATTCAAACGCCTGATGTAAACATTGAGAGCTTATATTGCTAACAACTAAGCAGCTGCATCAATACAATCTCCTAGAAGCGGCTATGTTTCAGGCTGTAAGCAGAACATTTTGTTTCAATAACTATCCAGATGATGTTTACTCGGACCATTTGAAAAATGTGGAGGAATTATGTTTTCGGGTGTTTTAGTTTTTTCTTTTTTTTTACAAGCGAAACTAGGCACCAAAAATAAACATCGGAATGGGTCGAGTGATATATCATGTTAAGCCTCTCAGTAACTACATTCGAAAATGTTGAAAAATTTTCTCGATGTTGAGAAAAACCAGTTTGAAATTTCCTATTTTTGGTCTAATTTCAAGCTAATAAGGTATTGAATAGCTTATTTGTGCTTAATTTAAGCCGTAAAAACTTCAATTTATTCGAGTAAGTCAGTTTTCGGAGTCTTTTTAGCGCCAATTTGGGAATCAATAACTTTCTGCAAAAAATGAAACAATTTTTGAAAACTTCTTTTCTGATTGGCCTAGTTTATTAAGAATGTCGAATATTCCTAAGTTATGATTTTCTTTTCAATTTTTTATCACACCATACAGAAAAAAAACATACTAACCTGCAAAAACTTTTTTGTAGTTTTTTAACGACTTTGGTCGGAACATTCTGTGCTATTGCTCAATAACCGGATAACCTTGTTTAATTTTGCAATTATCAAAACTGAACATCAAAACAGTCAGGAGGACTTAAAAACCGCAAAAAAGAATAGTTTTTTGAAACTGAATTTGGAAAAAAAATTAATATCACCTTCGAGCACTTTCAATTTCAAGAATCTTTCAAGATCGACGCATTTTTTGATAAAACTGATCCTATTCGCGAAAACTGAATCAGTAGATAATTTTTTCATTCCTCCGGGAATTCTAAAATTAAAATCTATTTTGAAAATGGGCAGTCGCGCTCTTTCAACTTTTGCTACCCGAGAGCAAAAGTTGTTTTCCTTTCATCAAGAGAAACTAAATCGAAATTGAAAAATCAAGTTAAGTCAAATCAAAACTGAGTGTATGCAAGTTTCAAGACTTTTTCTTACCTATAAAAAAAAACAAAGCCTACTTGAGTGTTTTCACTACGTTCATGGACACTTAATACCACTCGAAACACGACGGAGATGACTTTTCTATGGTATATATAATTCAACACATCTGACACTTATTTGTGGCAACTGTCATTGCAGTGGTTTGCGTAGGATTTTTTGACATGGCGATCTTTTGAAACTTTTTCCTGTCGAAACTCTAGAATGACTGTACAAGTCAAAAATCTCGGCTCAATCTTTTGGTGAAATTAGGCTAACAACACAGAGGAGAAGCTGAGCTTCGCACGAATTGCGATACAAAAAAAAAGACCGCGAATAAAATCAAAGGAAAAGAGAAATCAAAGGTCTGAAAAAAAATTACCCGCCCCATTAAGTATTTTACAAAGAACTATCTGAATGCAAGAAAAAAGCCTAACTTTCGAAAAAAAAATCTTTTCTGCGGGACCTAAGTTTACAAAAATAAGCCGACAGACGGACAAAAATCCAATTTAACCAAAAAATTTCAGTTTGCAAAAAAAGCAAGTCCCGATTGGAAAACCCGGGATTTGACGCCAAGCACGAGTGTTACAACAACTTAGAAGATCAATGAAAATCCATTAAAAAAATAACAAGCGGCAACTGCTCTGACAAAACTTAAATAATCTCCCGTAGATCCGGAACGAAGCATAACAAACACATGCTTCCCTTGAAACTACCCCAAATTAGGTCCCTAACCCGATAAAATATGAGCCGAAACCTTTAATTCTAATAAATAGTTTAGAAAAAAACAGCAAAATATACGAAGTAAAATTACAAATTGCAGGAGTAATTCATAGCCTCAAAAGTAACTACATTGAAAAGCCGATAAAACTATAGCAGACAATAGGTCAACATATAGGTCGACAAACAAGAGGTCAACATTCATGGAAAGGCATATTTCCAGTTTCTAAAAAAACGAATCCACAAACTTTGCCGTCCCATGCGTATTCTTCCCCTCCATGCTAAGTGCTCGAGACGAATAATAGTTTGAATTCATTATGCACCAAGATACAAGTGATTCTGTTGAACAAGTTTAAAACCCGAAAAAATCTGCATTCTGATATGATAAGGCTTGCTAATCTCCAGCGTAATAACGTCAATGGGCACTTTTTGGAAGGTTCTGATAAGCAAATAGCACTTTTTTGGCGAGCGCTTATTCCTCAAAATAAGTTTACAATGGCGCCCAGGGTGTCTTTGAAACAGTGTTTGGGTTAGTCACTTCTGGATCTCAATTCTTCGAACGACCTGAATTTCATTTACGCAAAAAACTCTCAGGGCAATAATTCTTCCATCTATTACGAGAAAACATGAAATAAGACAATAAAAAACTAATTCAAAAAGCCAAGCCGACTTAACAAGAAAATTCATCCGGAAAATAACCAAACACGAGAAAGTTATACACGGGACTCTACCTATTTCACAAAGTTCGCTCGCTCTAGCGGTTAGCTACTCAAACCCCAAAAAGATCACAAATATTGGAACATTTTCTCTAAATTGAGAGAACAATTTTTCAAACATAGCCAACTGACCATTAGAAAAGAGTGATGAACAATGAAAGATAAAAAACTTCAACAAAAAACAGGCCTTAAAGCTCATGGAAGACACTTTTTTGTAAAAATCCATGGAAGACACTTTTTCCGGTTAAAATTAATCCCTTTTGAGAAAACTGGATCAATAGGTTAAATCAATCACACTTTTCCGTGAGCTTTGCACCTTTACGTTCCTTTTAACGAAATGAACTGAGCTCAAAAATCAAAACTTTATAACGAACAAATTTTGACTATTTCCTGAAAAAAAAACAAATCACCAATATCAATATAAGAGTACTAAATACCTTCATTACTCTTATAAGTTTGATTGGAACCCATAACATAACCGACAGACAGAAGAAAATGTCAACCAACTCCAAGGGGCAGTTGAAGTAGATTGATGTTTTCTAACTTATTGTCGACTTGTTTCAAAAAATATAACACCTTTAAACTTAGAATTTCCAGAATCGTTTTTGTTAAAGTTAACCCGTTGTGAGAGAACTGGATCAAAATATAAATATCTTAAATCCGCTTAGAATTTTAAATTTCCATTTTTTCAAAATGAAACCAACTATGGTTTTTGCGCCATATAACCTGTTCTTTATTGACAGTAAAATTTGCTTTCATTTAGCAAACGAAATTGAACTTAAATAATAGATTTGAGCGTAAACTTTTCTTCTATGAAAAACAAAAACTCGACGTCAATTTTTGTCAATAACGTCAAGCATCAATATCGAGTAAAAAAACTCAAGTATGATACAACACTTGACTCCTTACAAGCTTACCTTGATCTACCTCGCGTAAATAAACCCACTCTACGCACCAGGGGCGGATTTAGGGGGTGCGGACGCCCCCCCCCCCCCCCCCCCCCTCAGGGATTCGACCCCATGCCGACCCAAAGGGTCCCCTTTGGTACTTTTTACGAAATCCATTTTTGGCCGACTTTATATACTAACTTTGAGCGCGCGCCAAAAAAACGCAATTTTTTGTCACAATTTTCCAAAAAGTGCCCAAAAACGGCGTCTTTTTAGTGCTTTCGGAGAGCTCGGAAAATCAATTTGGTCGACCTAAAAAAAAGGCCGTCAAAATTTTTGGAAAATCCGCCCCCCTTGAGAAAATCCTAGATCCGCCCCTGCTACGCAGTTCTTTTTCCAGATATTCTGAGAGTGTTCGACATACTCACCAATCACACCAGCACGTTAACAAAATTTGATTGCAGAAGCTTCTCACAAGTAAAATCAACAAAATCAAATTATATCTCGAAAAGAGACACTTTGAAAATTATACACACTGTATTAGAATGAAAAAGTGGTAGAAATAGCTTTTGAGTTCCCTTAGGGTGAACTCGTAAAAACGAATTCGTAATTTAACACAATCATTAGCATGTGTAACAAAACAATAAAAGTCAGCTGTTATTAGAAAATAAACTTTCTGCGAGCAAAGATGACATCCCGCTCTCCAATACCGATGTAGCCACTTTATACAAATTACCGAGTGACTCTTTGTTGATGACTTCGATCTTCTCGGCCTCCCTCAGTCTCTCCTCCTGACTCATGTACTGTACTTTCCTCCTGCTCTTAGGCGCACCAGAGGGTCTCGCTGAGGGTATCAAGTCTCTTCGGTCTTTGGTTGACTTTCTCACTGGATAGGAACCCAATTATAGCACATCAATAATCGACAATTCATTCATTACCTTAAGTATAATCTTAACAGCTGAATTTTAATTAAAGACGAAGATCAGCAAGTTGAAATTTTAAGTTTTTGCGTCAAAAACTGAAGAAAAATTCCCGCTTTGTCCCTTTTAAACTTCGTTTGCTCACATTTCATATCAGAAGCTACTGCAATGCTGGCTTCTGAGTCGTTTTCATTCGTATTCTGGCCATCAGTTATAAACCTCATTCTCGGCTTTCTGTGTTGATCTTCTTCCTTGAATCTTTTCGGTTCCTGACAACACAAATGAGTCCGAATAACAAAGCGCCAAGACAAGTTCACTCCACTAAAACTAATGCGTTCGAGTAATGAAATCGTTTCTGCATTAATTTGATCTAATGATGACTGTGGTAGGAAAATTAGAGCTACTTCTGTTCTTGTTCCAGTTTTTTTTTGCGAGTAGGATCATTAATTTTGACAAGATGACTACCACCCAACCTTGTAGGCCCTGGTGAGCACTCGTTTTGTCTTCCGTTTCCGCCTTCCCTCCCCTTCCTCTCCACCACTGTCCCCTCCCCCTGCCCCCTCATCGTCACCTTCTGCCTCATCTGAGGTGTTAAAGTCACTGTCTAATACATCGTCGTCTTCCATCTTATCTCCTTCAAAGTCGTTGTCATTGTCTTCCTGCAAATATAAAATTAGCAGGTTAAGTTCTGAAGTTGAAATCGCGCTTTAAAGACCAATTTTGGGAGGCCACTTATTAAATTAACAAACTTTTCGATTCATCATGAAGTCAACAAATTTTCAATTTTTAACAGATGACAATTCGTAAATGAATGAGCGGCAAACACTGATTCACTGCAATATACTTCTGGCGCCAAATGAAAGAGCAGCGAAGCAGTAAGCAGTGGCTACTTGCCAATGCCTTGTGACTAATTGTCAGTTGTTATTAATTGTCGCCCAACCCCATCCACTGCTACAAATTACATATTTTTTTCATGGGACCACTCATATTCCATTGAGTTTTGCCTAATTTGATGATATATCTATAAAAATAATCGGCGAGTTAATTCTTTATTCTCATTTTGAATCAAATTGTTCATGACAACCATTACATCTTCAGTATCTACACGGCAGTTTATTCGACCACCAAGTATATTTTTTATACCAAGTTAACTTTATATTTGGTTGTCTTAAGATTTCAAATTTATTTTCTTTGTGCTTGATTTATCATTCATTTTCAAAACTTTTTTCGCTTGATTATTTGGTTATTCGTTGTGCAAAAAACTGCAGTCAATTAAAGCAATTTCTTAAGTTGTAGGTTACTTCTAAATTTTTTTCTCGCAATAACGATGGCAGGAGCTACGTCAATTGTAGAGCAACCGGTAATTCTTCAATTCTGTATTTTAAAGTAGGAAAGAGCTCTGACGTACTTCGTTGAAGCCTCCGTACGTCTCCTGGTAGAAATCGTCTTTCAGCTTCTCTAACTCCCCCTGCAGTAACTTCGCATATCTGTTACCAGCTGTAGACCGAGAGGGCCTCTTCGTCACATTGTACTCGACTGATCCCCGCTCAACATCTCTATCTGATTCTGTTTTACTCACCATTTTCGGCTAGCTGACCTATATCATTTCAACTGAAAAACAATATCATCACAATTCGCAACCCTTCAGTTTCCAATCAAATATTAGCCCGTTTGTCCTCGCCAGAATAGCCAGCTGTTATGTGGAAGCCCTTCTTCTATAGGCTTGCCCTTCTTCTATGGGCTTATTGTAACAAAAGTTGACTCCCAGACTGAATTTGCCAACCCGGGAACAATTGATGATTTATATCAAATTTTCTATCCAGCCCAATTGCGATCCCTATATGGCGGCTGCAGATGCTTTATCGGTGAGCCCAATTTTCATATATTACTCAGGTTCAACAACAAAATTATACAGGACTTTTTTAAGAGTTACAATTTCGCAAATATTTCAAGCCTCGTTCAGATCGAAGATTGGCAATTCTCAGCTCAATTTAGTATCATTTTTCTCAGCCAACCTCTTCAATTCTCAAATTAGTTAGGCCAAACTTGTGTTAAAAAATAGTGAAAATTCAACGAGAAGTGACTCAAGCCATAAGAAAAAAAGATGACAGAACTAATTGAATTATCATGAGGTCAAACGATTTAAAATCTGTCCGTCAAATAACAACTCAAAAAGTCCCGGACTAGAAGCAACAAAAACTTGTTTCAAGTCTAATTCAACAGCCGCACTACAACCCACCTGTGCAATCAAGTAATAAATTAATCATCAATCGATGTAAATCAAGGTAGACTTGCGGCATCATCTCATAAACAAGAATAGATAAAACAACAAAAAAAATCGACTGAGCAGTTATAACTAGTAGGAGTTAACCACGGTCAAAGGTCAACCACTAAGGTTGTGAAAGTTATCATTACTCTTGGACCGCTTCAACTCCGAGAGACTTGGACTTTCGTTTCTTCTTCTTAGGACTGGCATCATCGACTGCTGGTCCGACTTCCGGTTCCGCAACTGCTTGCGCTTCGGATTCGCTCGGCCGCTTCTTTTTCTTCTTGCCTCCGGGAGTGGTTGCAGCGACCTCTTCGGCAACCGGTTCTTCAGTTACTTCTGAAAATCACATTTAAGCGTAGTTGTTCAGCATCCGATTTAAAAGGATTAGTCGCCACAACTCGCGACGTAAAATAGTATATAAGCATTTAGAAACAAGGATAGTCCGTTGCTGAGCAGGTAGCACCAAATGTTCCAACCACGTTCACAAAAACTACGAAATATAAACAATGGTAGTCGGCTGCTACGCACGTATCACAAAGTTCCAACCATATTCTAAAAAAAACTACAAAAAAAGTTATTTTTTTCAATATATTTCAATGTTTTTGTGCGAGGTTTGATAAAAAATCTTAACAAAAAAAATAAAATAAGGCAAAAATCGAAATGAAAGTCAAATATGCCAATTGAGAACCAGTTTTTAGAGAAAAATGGCAAGAAAAACGACAAAAAAAAATCGTAAAAACAATTCAAATATTTTCAAAATTTTTGAAGTTTTTTTATTCCCAAGAGGGCACTTAAAATAACTTATATTATTAAATTTTAGGACTTTTTCAGAAAATGTATGGCTTATTCGCTATTAAATGGCGACTATCCTTCTATAATAAACCTCGATTTTCTCGCTCAAAATAACACGAAAAATCAAAAATTTCAAACGGGTTTTTCACAATTTTGATGCCGTTCGAATCACGACTAAAAGGGCTTTAATATGATACATTGCACGCTCGAAATTACACGCTCGAAAATAAACTAAAATTCGAAACTGTCTCGAAGCTAGGCCAACTATCTGAAAGCTTCTCCATGTTCGAAAGCTTCTTAAAAAACACACGCGAAGACCAAGTTCCTCTCCATTTTCAAAAGGTCGGAACAAAAAATTATTTTACTGTACATATGGGTCGCGATGTTATCAACTCGAAAATCAATGCACTCTAGAAGACTTCAACGAAAACATTGCTGCATCAAAATAGCAGTTAGAAAAAAACCTTGCATAATTCAGCATGAAATTTTCTATAATTCACGAAGTCAATTAGTTTGATACACTTCAAGTTGTCAGGTCTAGGAATTCAATTAAATTCTAACTTACCTTCTGGAACCATGCTCTTCTTCTTTTTCTTTTTCTTGTCGCTTGTCTGTCCACCCTCTACCATAGAAATATCATTTTCCTCCTTCACCTCCAAATCACCATCTCCATTGTCCATCTCCTGCACCAACTTTTTCTTCTTCTTCCCGCTTTTTTGCGCAGAATCTATTTCTTTCGGCTCCTCTTTGATATCTTCTTCCTTTTCACCACTTTTAACAGTATTTCCTTTCGCCGGAGTTTTTGTCTCGTCGAACTTGCGTTTTCCAGCTCTAGACTCTAGTGTGAAATCATTTTCGTCATCGTACGTTTTTGGTGCCCTCTCATTTGGCGCGTACTTGGGCGTAGTGTTCATATCTCTGGCGCGTCCGCTTAACTTAAATGCCATTCCAGTTTCCAACTGTCTGAGTCTATACTCCACTTTGCTTCTTAATTCGACTCCCAACTTTCCATCAACGTCTTCTTTAAGAGCATCTACACGAATAGCGATAGCCGACTTAGCAGCAAGCATTCGTGAAATCTTTCCTTTATATTTCATTGAAGCCTGATTCACCAGCGTTGCATGATACATCAGACCGAACTTAGGTGTCGATTGCTTTTTTGCTATCGCCCTAAAAAGCGCCTTTTCTGCACCAAAAACCTGTACCGTTGAGGCAGGGTGTTTCGCTAAATTCAACAAAGATCCAGCGTGTGCTATCAACCGGGCTCCTAAGATCTCTCCGACTAGAACAGTCAAATTTGGCGCCACTGCCATCATTCGGTTAGTCAGGTATTCTGCCAATTGAGCTCTGTACCCGTACATGTCAATGATCTGTTCACATAGAAGAGCAACGTTGGCAATGTCATCCTTGGAAATTTCTGTTCCCATTGATATATCCGCTGCCGATTTTAAATCTTTTTCTAAGTCTTCCGTTAAAAACTCTGAAAAGTCAGTGCTTGTAGCATTGTCACGGGTTCCCATCAGTTTTACTGCTTTAGCGTACGTTACAATATCATTGACAATTTTGGACAACTCTGGGAAATGCCAGCCGTACCATTCCTTCATTCGCATTCCATAATTGTTCAACTCTTTGTCCAAATCGTCCAAAAGATTCACCGCTTGGATTATCATCGTATCGATTTTATCCGGATTGAACTTCAGTTTATAACGCGACAGTCCGTGAGCTAGGCCGAGTTGAATTGCCGCATATTCTCGTTCTGATATGCCTCCAATCAAATGACTCGCTTGAGCTTTTATGTTCCTGTAAAGCTCATTTATAGCACTTGAGGTCACACAGTTTACACCATGTTTCTCTTTGATGATGTTTCCCAGCTTGGCATCAACTACTCCGAGCTCTTCGTGAGCTTCGGAGCTTATCTGTTTCAGAATCTTTTTCAGGCGTTTCGGAACTTTGCACTCCAGAGCTGAGGCTGTTGCGGATAAGGCATCAGTGGCATCTTTGAACTTCTCAAAAAACTGCAGTTGGACAATTTTAGACGCTTTTTCGGGTGTCTGGAAGTGTTGCCAGATGTTTTCCACTTCCTTCAGTTTGGACTCCTTGAGAACTTTAAACACCGCATAGCCGGCGGGCGACTCAAAAAGAACTAACATTTACAAACTGAAAGAAATTTTCAAAATGAATTTTACTCATTTTCAATTAACTTAAAACATCAACTCTATTAAAGATTTTTTTTCCAGAAAATACTTTTAATAGCATTTACTAACAATTAATCAAAAATTGTGAAGATAGTGTTCATTGCAAACAAAACAGTTCTGTCTAGGTTCTGAAAACGAACTTAAATTATACGTCTAGCTCTGCCTCTTACTCCGGCTCACGGAACTTCGATCCAATTCTTGGACTCTACTTCACTCCCTTCAAACTTCGTCGGCAAAACTCCTGGGTTTATTTATGAATTCTTGCTGGCCTTTGCTGATGGTCTCTGGTAAGCTTCTTTCATGCCCCCACCGACCTTAAGTTGGAACTTCATAGCATGTGTGCTATCTACTCCCCAGGGACTTGAAAATTCTGTGGTGTCCTGGTCAACTAAGTGGGTGTATTTGGTCCTGCCTGATCGTCCGAAGTTCTTCACCTGCATGACCTTGGGAAGGACTGTCTTATCAAAGTGGTCTTCCAGAGTCGGTGCTGTGATGTCACGAGTGTACACGTCTTCTTCCTCTTCCTGAAATTATGAAGGATTTTTTTTGAAACAGCGTAGAAAAGAGTGCCAATACATTCTGATAGAAATCAGCGCTGCTTCTATTGCCCTCGGTTTATGCAAAACTTCATCAAAGAACGCTATAACATTTTTTTCAACGAAAAATTTGGACTCTTGTATTAAGATCTGGTAATTAATTTTTTAAAGCTGAATTTTGGAAACCTTATCAAGAATCGTTGCACTGAAGTTCATTTAAATAAATTCGTATGAAATCATTTTTCGTGCAAAATTTCCAAATCTACACTCTCTAACAGTCCTGCCAAAAGGTTCAAGAACTCTTGAAGTCTCACTAACCAAGTAGAATGCTCCTCGGTGGTAGTACTTCTGGAGGAACTTGTATTTGCCCTTTGGCATCTTGTTAGTCACAGTGGTCGGGTTCTGTCTGAAGTAGAGTCTCCTCTCCTCCTCTGTCATCTCATGGATCCTCTCCACTTCGTCTCTTTCCCTCTCCAACTTCTCCCTCATGTCTCGGTCTCGCTTGATACGCTTCAACTCACGCACCTGAATCAAAGTAATGTTTATTTCTTATAGACAACAAACTTACGATTTCTTATTGAATAACTTCATCAATAGCTGCAACTAAAAACAGATCCCAATGATAACTTTTCTTTGCTACTCTTTTGATAAAAGTAACCCAATTTGAGAAACTGGATCAATAGATTAATTTTCAATTCCGCAGGGAAATCTGAAAATTAAATACCACTTTCGTAACTAGAAGTCGATCACGTTTTTCGTGACCTTTGCACTTTCGCTGTTCCATAGTGGAGTTTTCCTTCCTTTTAACAAAGGAAATGAACTGGAGTTGAAAAGAAATCAAACGTCAAACCGCGAAAAATCAAAACTGAGCGTGAACAAGTTTTCACGAAAAAAAAAAACAATAAAATGACCAGAACCTATATATGTGTTACATAGCAGTATTTAGACAACCGCGTATTCAGACTCGTCAGTATTTAGACAAATACTGTTTCAACCAATCAGAATCGAGACAAAGAAGAAATTAAGGATCAATTGAGCAATCTCTTCCGAAATCAATAAATAATTATTTATTTTGGATTATTTATGTCTTTTCTCGATTCTGATTGGTTCATAGTATTTGTCTAAATACTGACGAGTATGAATACGCGGTTGTCTAAATACAGGCTGCACTCCCTATATATGAGCACTCACTACGTTCACTAATCTTGAAAAACGACCCGAATCTGAAGTTTTTTCCGTTCCTCGAAATATCGGAACAAAGACAAGTAAAATGTATTTTTCCTTTTCACAAAAATAATATTTTGCTAAAACCCTCTGGAAACCTCAGGAAAACCAATTCTTTCAAAACATTAGCACTGCATACACAGCTATTGATGTTACCTTCCATGCTTCGTATGCCTCCTCGACATCCTCGTCGTCAGTCTGGATGGCCTCGAGGTCCTCAACTGCTCCTTCTGCGTTGTTCGCCTTCCTCTCTTCCACTTCTGTCTTGCGAATTTGCTCTACGATCTAAATTGATTAATTGACAAACACTGCTTATACATCAGACTAGTTTAATGTCATCGTGTGCAGCAGCTATATTTTACACAGAGGCGAAGCTGCACTTCGCAAACACAAGCGAGAAACGGGCAAAAAGTAGCTCCAAAGGGGTCAAAAAATTAAAGGAAAGAAAAGTAAAACTCTATGAGCCGGAATCGAACTACCGACGTCGAGATTCAACGTCACCCGTCCTAAACTAGGCGCCATTGCCTCTTACAATAATTAAACGCCAGGAGCCCAGATTAAGCTGGAGTTAACAGTTTGATAACATTTTAAATACAAAGGCGAAGCTTCGCTTCGCCAACACTTGCGAGAACACGACAAAAAGCAGCTGAAATAGGCCTCGAATTAATAAAAATTCGGCTACGTTTCGGATTCGATCTATGACCTGGAGAATAAAGGTATCACCCACGGACGCTTAATAAACACAAACACTAGCCACAAAGCAGAGCACAGATGCAATGAAATTTCCAATGCTACAGATCGTGATTATAGCGCAAAAGGCACACAAATAAAAGAACACTTTTAATGAACACTTTTATTGCGATTTTGATTACAAGGTTCGCACTAATACGCTACGCTGATTGCTAGTGTAAAAATGGACTGATGCGATATTTTCAAAAACAAAAAAAACTTCAAATGGACTGTTGCTAAGTCCAACGTTGCTTTTCTACAACAATTAGGGCGTAGTCGCTATATGAAGAGACAGTTCATAGCGCATGCTATTTTTCGATTTTTTCTACATTCAACATTGGTTTTCTAAAAGAATTAGGACTTAACTTAGTTACTAAGCAGATAAAATTCCTAGCACCTGTTCTTTCGACCTTTATCTTAAGATTTTTCAGCATAGTTTTCAGGCAAATTCAAATACTTTCCAAAAAAACGGGCAAGATTTCAGTTGTACATTTTGTATGGCGATAATTTTTTCATCAAAGACCTAGGGCGACACTACATTTACAGAGAAGAGTCACAAAATCTGTTCTATCAATCAAACCATTAACCTTAGTTTTGAGAAAAGTCAAAAAGTTGGCAAAAACGTCCAAAATTTCCAAATCGAACAACTTTTATGGTCATAACTTTTTGCAACAAAAATTGGGTCATATCCAATTAAGCAATAAAGATTCCTAAAACTGGTTTTTGCCAATGAACCCGTAGACTTTGCGATTAAACCCTTAGATTAAATTAGACAGAGCTAAATTTCGAAGAAGTTTCAAACAGAGACGAAGCAGAACTTCGCACCACTTGCGATACAACATTTATACAAGGTAATTGAGTGGGAATTTAGCATCGTAAAAAAATTTACCAAGCGATAACAAAGCCGAAAATACCTTAGCAGAAACAATTTAGGCCGAAAAAAAAACGAGACTTAAGACTTATAAAAAGTTAACAAGTCCCACTCGCCCTCAGCACACACAAACAACAAACTTTCATTGCTCGTCAAATGAACCAATATGAGGCCACTAAGCCGTTATACTAAAATCCCCCTCAGCCTCAAAACACACAGGTACGCACATTTTTTTCGCTTGTCGACAGACGCAATATCAGATAATTAAGCCGATATAATATCGGCCGAAATCAACTATGGCGAAAAAAGCAAAAGAAAAAACAAAAACGCCGAAAAAAACTGTCGGCATAAAAAACTTGAGCTATAATCTTTATTAAGATTTTAGCAAAATGTGCGATCCAGAAGTTACGTTTCACTTGAAACGACTCAAAATTGGGTCAGTAAGCCGATAAAATATGAGCCGAAACTATTTGGACAGAAAAAAAACTAAAAAAAGAAGAAAATACACAAGTCACGAAATTGCAAACAGCAGAAATAAAAACACCAAGAAAAACTACAATGTAAATTGCGCATAGCGTGAAAAACTAAGTCTACGATGTGGCAACTAGACCGACAAAACATAAGCAGACAAATCATAAGCCGACAATTTTTTCAAATGGAATTTTTCCCCGGTCAGATTCGAACTCAGGACCTTTGCCGTACCAGGCAAATTGCTTACTTCCAGGCTAAATGGGCTGGAAACGCTAAGAAGTTGACGTGGGCCGGGAACGCTCTGAAGGTACCTCGAGTCCAGAAGTACACTAGAGATGAGTCCTGTGGACAAAGTTGTTTGCGATAAAAAGGTCTAGTACCCGATTTCACTACCCATGCTGTCGCAAGGGTAAAAATTGGGCCGGAGTAGCTTATGCATGGGTGATCCCCATAACAAGTTCTTGTGACTAACCCCTAATATCAGATTAGGCAGGGTAGTTTTTGAAAAAATGAAAAAAACTCCAAAGAATGGCTCAAACCACTCCACCACTGACGTTTCCGAAGGCTGTAGAACGTTAAGTGAAATTCAAAGAGAATATAACAGCATGCAGGCAAGCAGGCGAGTAGGTGATCTTTCAATTGGTACAACTTTGATCGACGAAGTAGTTCTCGGGGAAAATGAAATTTTTACGATCTTTCAATTGGTACCGCTTCGCACCAATTATTATGCAAAAATTAGTGACTAAGTACGTCATAAAACCAAATGAGAAAATTTTCAAAAAAAAAATTAAAAATGTGCGAGAACTATCAAACACTTTCAAAAAAGACTTCGGAATGCTAAAAAGAAGCCGAAGTTCTGGAGAACGAAGACGGCAAAAAATTAGCAGACAGACAAAAATCAAAATCAGTCGAAAATTTTTAGTTTGCAACAAAACAGACTTCGACTGTAATTGAACTTCCGGGATTTGTCATGTTACAGCAATTTCGAAGAAAGCTGAACCTTAAAAAAAGTCGACATACGGGAACCAAGCCTATAAAAAGAAACAGACGGACTATAATCCGAAAAAGCACGAAAATTCTATTGGCAAAAACTAAGTCCCTGCTGGATTCGAATAACAAGCCTTTGGCATCTCAAGCCCTTGTGTTAACTCTACGCCAGATACCGCCGAATGGTAGATTGAATTTATAATAAGCAAGCGGTAACAAATCGGAAAATACCTGGCCAGACATGCTTCATCCCGAAAAAAAAAACTTTTAAAAAATTGAAATCAATTTAAAAAGTTTAAGCGAACGACAAAATAAGAGGCTTCGAAGCAGATATAAGATGAGTCAAACCAAATAAGCCAAAAAATACAACATAAATTAAAAAAACGAAAGTTACAAACCGCGTAGTTAAAATTTTTAACCAGCATAAAAGCTAATTTCGTTTAGGCCGGATATTTGAAATGCGTCTATGCTCAACATATATGTCTGCAGCAAGATAAAAGTAGATCATTGAATCCAGGATCTAGCAGATGAGTCCTGCGAACGTTAATTTATTTCCGGAAAAAAATCTTGTACCGGATTGTAATACCCTTGCTTATCGCAAGAGTAATAAACATAGCCAAATGACAGTTGGAAAAGAGCAATGAACGCAAAGAACCCAAAAAAGTGATAAAAGCAAAAAATTATACTCTTAAAGCTCTTTGATTTTCGCGAACAATTTATGATTGGTGCTTTTTTTAATAAAAATAACCCAATAGAGAAAACTGACTCCCTAAGTAAAACTTTTGTTTCGCTAACAAATCTTATTACATTCTATTTACGAAATAAGAAATTGATCATGTTTTTGTGCCCATAACATTTTTGCTGTACGATAGAAGAGTTTGCATGCCTTCATCAAAGGAATTGAACGTACAAACAAATCAAAAGTCAAACCGCAAAAAACCGAAATTGAACCTGAAAAAGAAGCAAAAAATCAGCAAGAGCTAATAAGAATGCTCACTACATTTTTTATGTTTCTGTGCGTTCATTGACTCTTTTCCAACTATGTTGGCTATGTTTATATGTTTGTTTCTGGTATATTGGTGGCTAGTTCCTGTTAGATAAAAAACAGGTTTTATGAAAATATATGGGTTTTAGTTATTTGATTGAGAATAATGAAAGTAGTGAGCATTCTTATTAGCTCTTGCTGATTTTTTGTTTCTTTTTCAGGTTCAATTTCGGTTTTTTGCGGTTTGACTTTTGATTTGTTTGTACGTTCAATTCCTTTGATGAAGGCATGCAAACTCTTCTATCGTACAGCAAAAATGTAATGGGCACGAAAACATGAACAATTTCTTATTTCGTAAATAGAATGTAATAAGATTTGTTAGCGAAACAAAAGTTTTACTTATACTTTTGTTTCGCTAACAAATCTTATTACATTCTATTTATGAAATAAGAAATTGGTCATGTTTTTGTGACCATTACATTTTTGCTGTACGATAGAAGAGTTTGCATGCCTTCATCAAAGGAATTGAACGTACAAACAAATCAAAAGTCAAACCGCAAAAAACCGAAATTGAACCTGAAAAAGAAACAAAAATCAGCAAGAGCTAATAAGAATGCTCACTACTTTCATTATTCTCAATCAAAAACTAAAACCCATATATTTTCATAAAACCTGTTTTTTATCTAACAGGAACTAGCCACCAATATACCAGAAACAAAAATATAAACATAGCCAACAGAGTTGGAAAAGAGTCAATGAACGCAAAGAAACATAAAAAATGACTTGATTTTTTCAAAAACTTTCGAACTTCAAACAAAAATACATGGCTTGAAAGCTCTTTGAGTTTTAAGAGCAATTTAAAATTGGCATTTTTTGATTTAAAAAAATAACCCTATTTGCGAAAACTAGATTATTAGGAAAGAATTTTATCCCGCTGGGGAAATCTAAAACCTAAATTTGACTTTCGAAACAAATCGATCATGAAATCCACAAGAAAAATCATCACGACCTATACAAGCGTGTAAACTACATTTATGAGCATTTATATTTAGAACATAGGTTCGAAAAAAGTGGATATCGTAATAAGACACTAGGCTGCGTTGTGTAATAACTTACTAACGTCTTTTTTGTCTCCTTAAGATAATTCTAAGGACCTTACAACTCAACTTTTACTTCATTGATAAGGTCCTGAACATTTTGAAGCTCATATTATCAGTGGCGTGCCGACGAGGAGAGGTGCCACATTCTTTCCTCAGTTCTCAATACTAAATTTTTCTCAAGGGTCCCCCATGATAAAAAATTATTTCTAGCCGAACAACACTCAATTTTTACTAATGACTCAACTGGCGTAAAATTTTGCTGATTATGAGGTGAGACCGCGCCAAAAACGCATTTTTGTTAAAATCTCCAAAAAAATGCTCTAAAACATCTTTCTCTCAAAGCAGCCAGCAGCGCGCAAAATTTTGCGAAATATGATCCATTAGGGGGTTGATAATGCCCGAAAAGTTCAAATTGACTGATTTAACAAAAAAATCAACATTTTTTTTCTCGAAAAAACAACGCCCCCGACCAAACCCAAGCCCTGCGCACGCCACTTACTATGATCATAGCTCTCAATTAGAGTGAGCTGAAATACCCTTGACAAAGACAATAATAAATCCAAAAACACTCACAAAGTCTAGAATGAAAAGAAAACGTGTTCACGAAAACATACCCTCAACGCTTCTCGCCTTCTTTCTTCCTTCACTCTCCTGGCTTCGAACTCCCTCGTTCTGGTCTCTTCCTTCTCTTTTTCCTTTTCCTTCGTCGACAGTCTATCTTGCCTGAAATGAGAAGCCTTATGATGAGGTGAAAATTAGTTGTGTTCACCATCATTTCTCGACCATGAATAAAATGAAGGAAGGGCTGCAAAGGTGAGTTTGCACACCTAATAATAAAAAAATAGTTTCTCTCATCAATATTCATTCAAAAATGACAAAAAAAAAACTTTTTTTTTCTCAACGCACTGCATATCGACGTTTCGCAGTATTATAGATCACTTATATAATTTTCATTTATCTTTTTCTCTATGAATGACAAAAAAGTCGCTCACTTTGAAATGAACACCGGTTTCAATCTTGATGGTCCATCATCGTCTGATGAACTCATGTCCTCGTACTCCGATCCCTCTTCCGAGGAAGACTCCGCCCTTGCCCCACTCACTCGGCCACGATCGCCACCACCAGATCCTAGCGCCTTCTTGTCGTCCTCTTCCTCTTCTACCGCTAGGAGCTCCTGAAACACCCTCTGTGAAGTCAGGCATTTCAATCCAAATAAACAAAACACTGAAAAACATCGTTGAACTAAGATAAAAGCCATGGAAGCATGAATCACTCTTATCTTTCAGTCCTTTATTTGATAATTGATTTCCTCGAAATGCAGAGGATTATCAATGGTGTTATTTCGTCTATAATTAATCCGCTATTTTACTGAAAAAATTGTTTCGTTGAACTGTTTTTCCGACTTAAGTCGATTTTTATTGTGTCCAGCATATTGATACCATTTTTTGGCTACAATTCAGCCAGGCTGTGATAGCCCTAGGAGAAGAAGTCAAGTGAGAGCTCGTCATCACTCACTATTATTGCCATGGTACAATTGTTGCGCGACACTCATTGCAGGAAAGAATCCGTAACCAGCAAAAGCGAAAACTGAAAGGTAGTTTGTTTCTTAAGTAGAATCGGCAAGTATCGAAAACGTCCTCCGCTTCGCACTACAGTGCTTGCATTCAGCGCAAATGGAAATGTGCGCCTGAATCGAAGTTTGTCGCATACTCTTCTTCACACAAAGCATACAATTAAGAGCTCCTAAATTAAGAGCTTGTGACGCATTGTCGCCTCAAATGGCGCAGGACCTAATACTGGATCTCAATTTCAAAAAAAAACGCCTCGCCGCTAGTTGAACTGCCTTTGAAATTTGGTCTAGTCTAAAAGGATCGATTCAAAATCATATTTGGTATAGCGTTTACTTACCTCTTCTTGAGCTTTCCTCATTCTAGCGTTCTGCAACATCCGCATGCGTCTCACTTTCTGATCCTGAAACAACGCATATTTATTCAGAGTGTAGCCAAGTTCTTTGAGAAGGAAGATCCTCGTTAAATGCACTTAAAATAAATTGATATACCTACGACATCTGAATAGTGACATGAGCGAAAATGAAACAAATCACAGAATGCACCGATAACGTTCGAACTTAATCGCTACAAAAAGCAACACGCATTTTAAATTTTAAGTTCAGACTACCTACGAGGGAAATGAGCAGAATGGTCAATGTAGAAATGATCTAAGAGCAGAAAAACAAACAAATATTGAACTGACTGAGCTTATCGATAAAAACAAGTATTCGAATCGTCAAATTTACCACTGAAAAAATTATATTACACATAAATGGGACTTATTAATCGAAGTTTTTCAAATTTCTCAAAAAACAAACTTGATAGAATGATTCAATTTTTGTATAATTTATTGATTAGCCATTCTAGCCAGTTTTCTGCTCTTACACCCTGTCTGCTCTCGGCCCATTTTGCCTCCGAGGGAAAGTACCAAGATAGAAAACTTCAAGAAAAAACAGTCATCTGTGTCGCGAGAAACTAGTCTTAACTTTTCCTTTTTCAAACTAATTTCACTGAGTTTACGTGATTGCTCCGACCATTTTTTAATCATATTTTTACAGCAACTGCCTACTCACTTTGATTAGTAAAGCTTTATTGCTGGTTTTCTATGAAAATTAGGAGTGAAAAAAAAAGCCAAACACTGACCAAAAAATAAGATCCGACAAAAAGTTACAGCCCATTCAGTACCCATCATTACCATAGAATTAAATAAATATATTGTTCCTACCATTAACATATAATTAACTAAATATATTGTTAATTATTGAACTAAATATCTAAATAACTATTTCCGCACTTTGGTAGCAGATTTACCTCTAGCTACTAACTAAGGGTTTGAGGACCACTGTTTTCTCTCAGGAAATCGGACGACTCGCCATACTTTTAGACATACACGCCAATTTCCAATCACTAATATAAACACCATTTATAGTCACTGATTATTAAACATCTAGCTACTCGTTCGTAATCGAAATTTAAAACGAAGCTTATATTGAATTGTATTTAGTATTAGTATCCAACCTCTTCAGATTGCTCGTCTTCATCGTCACTTGGATCTGGGTGTCGGTGTCTGGCTGTACGGTTATTACCTTCTTTATTTCGCGCGTTTCTTTCATCCTCACTACTTCCGCTACTGCTTCCTGACCGAGATTTTCTCCGTCTATTCTCTTTTGGAGGTTGATCGAATCGAGAAATTCTGTTCGGCTTACTGTCTCTCCGATCATCTGATGTATACTTTTCTTCCGCTTCTCTTTTGATTATTTCTGGTTCAAAAACTTCGCGATGAGGTCTTCGCCTAACAAAAAAAGCAAGCACATGCATACCAACAAAATCTTAACAAAAGAAAACGTAGCTTCGCATCACTTGCGATTCAAAACCAAAACAGCGAAAGTTTTCTAGGAAAAAAATTTTAAAAAGCATCCCTAGAAACAAAACTTTCAGCTAAATTTCAAGCCAAAAAAAACACCGGTAACAAAATGCACAAAAAAGGAGAAACTAAACTGGGTTTTTTCGGTTATACCCCCCCCCCCCCTAAATGATTAAATTTGGCATTTGGCAATTCAAATTTCGATTAAAATTGAAAGCGCAATTGAAATTGAACAAACAATTAAATACCATTCGCGTGCAATTAGCAGCTGCTCGATTAGGAAAAAAAGTATATGGCAAATTTATCACAAGGTTTCCTAATCGAGGAGCTGCTAATTGCACGCGAATGGTATTTAATCGTTTCTTTCACTCGCTTTCGCGCTTTCAATTTCAACTCGAAGTTTGAATTGCCAAATTTAACCATTTAGAGGGGAGGGGGGTGGGGGGTATAACCGAAAAAACCCACTAAACCCACTTCGCGCACATTACTGTTTCAAAAAGCATAACCAGCAGACAAGTTGAGAAGAGTCTATAACATACCATTGCTGGCATTATAGATGTTAAGTTTGATAATACGGTTTGGCGTTATCTTCAACTCAGGGATGTGTTTACCGGATAAACTCAATTTATCCTTCGGCGTGGCTTTTCTAAATAAAAAAGAGTATTGATCAATTAATGATCTTTAGCTAGTTAATTTCGCCCGTTTTGTGCTGGTTCTGCTCAACCGCCTCCAGGCTAAGGCATTTCGCTACTGGCGCCGGCCTTAACTACAGGTCTGCGCGCGTAAAATAGGAGGGATTTTTGGGGCAGTTTAAAAAAAGGCAACTAATGTGGGGCCACAATAGACACTTAGGGCAAAGTGCGGAAACTTCGTGGTCTAAGAGGGCGAGGTAAGTGTTTTAAAGCCGACTGTAACCAGACAGTAATTGGAAAAGCTTACAGCGGGTGGTTCCGGCAAGGGACTGTTCAGAGGGGTCGATGCTTGGAGATGGAATACAAAGAACTTTTGAGGGAGGGGTTTCTGCTAGGACCTTGGTTATTAGGTTAGTATGGCTGTTTTAGAAGGGACATGTGGTAGTTAAAACAAAATTGGAAACTTTTCTGAGCCGTAAATGATTTGAGGGGGGGGGGGGGGTAAGAGTGATAAAATGATTTGGGTAATGCGAAGTTTATGAAGTTAAAGGGGAGTGGTGGTTTTGAGCGTTCAGACTCTCGACCACACTGTACTGGTGGGCAGTGTAGCTCATAAGAGTTGAGCCATCGATTACACGAAGGGCTTGATTTGGGGTGACCTGCAGGCGAGTAACAAAAATTTTGCTGGCAGCATTCGCTCAGCTCGGGGAGGCATAACCTCAAATAGAGCGTATTAATGCTTTGTTCGTTAAAAGTAGGGTTTCTTTAGACTGGCACTAAAAAGAACCTGCTGACGCCTTCAGGACTCCTATCATTCGAAGAGCCTTGTCGGCAGATCTCTTGAAGTGAGCTGCAAAGAAAAGTCAGGTAAAAAGAAAACCCCAAAATGTTTGGATTTTTATGAAGAGGCAGCGGCTCGTTGTTTAAAATGACAGTTGGAGTTATGTTAAAAATTTTGTTAAAAGACAAAATCAGGCAAACTGATCCTTTAGAGGACGCGAAAACTAGCTTACGGGAGGTGAAAAAAATGAAAAAAAGGTGGAGCAGATAACCATTCAGTAAGCGCGACGTTGCCTCAACGTCCGGGCTATGGGCGAAAGGGTAAAAATCATCAGCGTATGCGGTGAGACGAACGTTTTCAATGGGGAATACATGGTTGTTAAAAATAATGGTGGCTGGTCGGCCAGATAAGTAGCTGCTCAGCCAGCGAACTATACCTCTTTGCAGCGGCGTTTCATGAATGAGTTCCACAAGTGTTCTATGACATACCATAACAAATGCCTTTGAAAGGTCAAGTATGGTAAGAACAGTACGTAAGGTAGAGCGTTTTGGATTAAAAAATTAATAATGATAAAAAATCAAGTGTGGAGACTGCAATTTTCTGGAGTGGAATGGACGGAACCCGTGTTGGCGTTGCATTCGGGAGGTGCTTAATTAAAAAAAGGATGGATGCGCCTCCAGGGCAGGAGAAGCTGACTCCGGAGAAAGACAGCGTGTAAGGGCGTTTACCACCGGCGGGGCTATGGTGGCGTGCTGCCCTGAGCACCAATCCCTTAAGAACTTCTCCCCGGCCTCAAATGAAGAACATATACTCCCGAAACGAGGACAACTGCCTAAATATGCTCCGTAAATTGCCGCCAGTCCGCCCGAGAAAATTTATGATTTTTTTTTTCGGAGAAAGTAGTTGAAGAAAGTAAAAGGGACTGCGGTGCTAACGAAACATCACACGAGGAATTGTGGCATTATAATTTAAGGGGGCTCTTGTTTGAGTGTAGTCATTCAATGGTGCAAAAGTGAATTCAGTGATTTCAAGAGTTCTTGAACACGTTGATCTTCTTCAATAATTTATTACTGATCATTTTAAACGGGCTCTATCTTTTGTTTACACTGTGTCAATAATCAAATCACAACAATTTAGTAAATTTGAAACGTGACACTTTATAAAATCATGTATTTTAGCATTGACAATTAACTTAATTTGAAACTACATTACTAATGTATGCAATTTAGCACTAGGTTACATAACCGCTCTTGATGATTCTTCCCTGGCCACTGATAAAATGTAGCAAAAAAACGAATTGCTGCCATTTAAGGTTAAGAACTCCGAAAATGCTAAACACCAGGGATTCATTGACGCATTTAAAATGAAGAAAATTGAGGAATCAGATAAATTGAGACACTAGAATTTTTAAATTCGACGAATTTCGTGGAACACAGAAACCGCAAATTCTTGTTCCTTTTTTGAATTGTACAGAACCTATTAAAGTCAATCAAACGTACTTGAACTATAAAAAGTAGCACATGTTCAGTTTATAACGTGAAAATTGCTGGTGAGAATTACACGAAATTATGCTTTTTGGAAATTTTGTCTCCAGAAGCCGGGAAAATATATGCATGGATTAAAGGGACTTCACTGAATATCCACTTAAACAGACGGAGTTTAACCACTTCGTCGCATTCTAGTCGAGATATAAGTGTGATAGAAATGAAATGCATTTAACTGCTTGGATTTAGCTCATGCTTTCCTTTTTATCTTCATCTTTCCTTTGAAATCTAGCCTCCTGCTTTCTATGCCAATGTTAGAACAACCGATGTCCTCCTTGATTGCTCGTTTTGTTCCTCGGGGGGTCTACTTCTTCTTTGGTCAGCACCATGTAATTTTCACGAGATTTCAATCCCTGTTCTTGAAATTTTTTTGTGCGAAGCTGCTACTGGCAAAGCTGGTCTTAGAGCAATTTTCCGTTTTGAAACGGAGTCAATCTTCTGAAAATTGCAGAGCGGTGGTATATGTACACCAGCAGTGCAAGCAGAAAGAGATTGTTTTCAGCATCGATGATAGTCACAGTGGATTGTTGTTCCAAACTGTCCACAAGCGTCGGTTTCAGTAGTTTTATATGCTATGCGATTGGTTTCGCGATAACGCTTAGTTGTGCAATTTTGGTCGAACGCAGATAGACTGTCAATCAATTACGTGTTGACTTCTCGTAGTAATTTTAGTTTAGCGTCTGTTTTTGGCTCAAAAAGGGAAAGCAGTTAATTCGGGCAACTCTGATATGTTGTGCAGGTATTTCGTCGCAGCTATGTAGGTCCGCTCTGACTTCAAAAATTTACTGAGTTCCATAGTCTAAAACTTTTCAGCATTTATAACGGCCGCGTCGTCTTCTCTTTTGAGATGCTTGGTTCTTCCAAGTTTGGATGTTTGGTTCTCCCTGTATAAATTCAGCACTATCTAACGTTATGCGCCATACGCCGCACCCTAAGTAGATTTTTCCGACACTGGGAGAAGGATCTTTTCAGTTTCGCATATCATCAGTGCTGTCATTGACGAATGGAGGCCTCTTCAGCGCTCCGTGTTCTCTCAACTAATTCGATCGTGTGGTGTGTTTCAATGTTGCATGACCGATTTACATATCCATCATGTCGTGAGTTCCTGTATTAATTTCGACGTGAATGTACTTCCGAGCATTCTTTTAGAAACAAAACCCCGTGTCTTTGTAAGTTCTTTTTGCGGCCGTATCTACACTTTGTCAGAGTTGAAGTTTGTCAGAGTTGAAGCAGACAATTCAAGACGTCGTTTCCCGTGAGCTTAAATTTTGAGACCGGCGAATAGAAAAGTCCGACGAAGTTTTTCTGCAGTATATCTCCTAGGAATGATTGAAGTGAGCGAATTGGCTGAAGTGGCAGAGTCTGGGAAAGTGTGACGCATTCTTGAGTTGCACACATGTCAAGCAGTTTTTGATAGTAAAAAAAGACACTCAGAACCCTGGAAAGTGAAATATCTTCCTGACTTCTTCAGTAGCTCTGGTCACTCCATTATGTCCTCCTGTCAGTAAACTGCGATTTCTGTAGATCGTTTTATTTCACAGATGCTTTGTAAGCAACATTGCTTTTGTTTGATTTGTTTGGTTGTTTCGTAACAAAGTGCGAAACAGAATGTTACTTTCGAGTCAAAATCGATTAAATTGTTTTGCATACTTTTTCGAACGGCTGTTCGTATAAGTAAAATTTGGTAGCTCTCCTGTTCGCATCCAACTTTTCACCGTCTGGGCCCTGATGACTGGGTCCTGATGCTGTTTCGCTTTAAGTTGAGTGGCTCATTCCTTAGATGCAGGTCATTTTGACGCGCAAACGAGAATACTCCTGATGGCGGAATTGTTTTTTTTTACAGGAAGAAACTTCTATTAATAGTTGAAACGATCATCTGTTTGACTGATCCCCAGATGTATTGAGCGCAAAGATCCAATGCGAAATACAGCGCTGAAATCGGGAACCAAATGACACTAGTGCATACATCATCATCTCACCATTTTAGTCCGTTTTCAAGTAGTCTTCGAACATTAGGACGATTCCTTTACCATGTTAGCTAGCAACTCAAACTATAACATACTACAATCCAGATTTTGTCAGTCTGAGCGTCAAAGTAGCTGCCTGTATTAAACCAGAATTCAATGTTTTTATGAATCTGTGGTGCTCATCCGTTATTTCGAGGTTTTGTCTTTTCAAGAGTCGATAAAACGGTAAAAAACGGAGTTTTTTGCCAAAGCTCCGCATATAGTTCCTAAAGAACTGAACAAAAAAACCAATCAGTCTTTTTTCTTGTTTCACTGTTTGTGGCAATTTAATTTTGTTTTTGGAACGTCGTTATCTAAGCTTTCTCAGGTGACACTCGTGGTGACACATTTCCCAGGAATTTCGATCTCTGAGTTTCTACTTCACATTTTTCAATGAAAATTTTAGACCTAAATTCTTACATTCGAATATTTTTTCAAGCGTAGGGATTATTTCTAGAAAGCTATTCAAGACACTTCCTATATTATCCATGAACTGTGTACACAGATCTGCCGCTAAGTAAGGATCAAGATTGAGGAGTAAGAAAGAACTGAATCCAATGACCAATCTACTAAACCCTTGAGCAAAGCAATTATATGCGTAGGTTCGCGACAAGGAATTAAATGCCAGGAGTTGGAAAGGTCATCTACCATTTGCACAGTGGTATGCTTGCGAACAGTCCAACTTTGTAAATAGCTATTTCCAGCTAACTGGTTTGACGCATCGGTCATGTTTGAAACAACCTGAGGTCTATCATCATTGAGGGCGTTCGTGCTTGGGTGTCAACTTGATCTCTTATTCCGAATTATTGCCCACGCCAAATTGGTGTTTGGCAAAAATAAACAAGTATTTGTTTATTAAATTTTCCACTTCCCAAGTTCGATCGTCGCTCAAAAGAAAATTCTACAACTAAAAATTGTTTAGAAAGGTGAATCGACCCTGAATGACGTTTTTTAGCGTATTTTGTCTAGGTCTTCAAAATGAAGAATTTGATTATATAAATCTCGCGTTGATCCATTCGAATAACCAGATTTATGATTCCGTTGATCATAAATCTCCCATTGAATAGCGCAAAAGTAGAAAACTTCTAGTTAGAAAAAAAAAACAGGTCCCGGCCAGATGCGAACCACAAGCCCTCGTCGAGCATATGTGTTACATACATCTAAGCCAGATGCGCTGGATAGTTGATTGAATTTGAGTTTTTTAATTAACAAAACAGCCGAAGTTCATTTTTTCTTATTTATTAGTGGGAATAAGAGGCTGCTTTAGATTTTTTAAGAATTAATCGCTAGATTTCAATCCTAATAAAACCGAGAAAAATTGAGAGAACAAAAAAAATTAGGTAAAAAAGCCGACAGAATTAAAGCCGAACGACTGAAAAATCCGATAACATTTATTTGCAAATCTTAACCTAGGCATAAGGCACAAATGCAATCCAAAAAGTAACCATGCTATTAATTAACCATGCAGAGGTTATAATAAAACTAATTAGCATTTCATTTGACTTTTCTGTGAACAAAGTTACTTTCAGGAAAAATCTAGGACAGATTACAAAACCCTTGCTTATCGCATGACTAAAATTTTGAGGGAAAGGCGCTGTATATTGCTTTCTTCAGTGATAAAAAGAAATAAAGATAGATAAAAGTCAAATCTGGGCAATATGAAAAAATTTACAACAAAATCAGCAAAATATCTTTGTGAAACTCAATTTCTCGCAAATAATCAGTTAAAAATGCTCAAAATAGGCGACTTATACTATGCAGACAAAAAAGAAGCAGACGAACGTAGGACTAAATAAAATTTATTATATATTCTGATCAACGAGCTGCCAAACGATTCAACTGAATTTATTTACACTAGATGTTAACATTTAAAAAATCAAGACTGAGATTTGATTACGCTGGCTAATCGCCAGCGTAAATAACTCAAAAACCGACCGGCAATAACCCAAAAATCAATATTGAGCGTGAACAACCTTTCGTCGTAAAACATGACTTCAATAAGGGAAAATGACTTTTTTATGCTGTTAGTCTTTAATTTTTGATTATTCCTTGAACATTCCATCCCCTCATATGCCCTATAAGGACTTAATTAAGCCAAATAGGCAAAGAAGCTTACAAAAATTTACACCTGTTAAGCTGAAGAAACATAGCTAACAAAATGTTTAAAAGTGAAGAAAAAACAAGGAAACAAAAATCAACCCAATTTAAGACAAGTGGATTTAAGTCAAGTGGACGATGCAACACTAACATAAAATAAAAACATACGCCGAAAATAAAAATTATTGGAAAAAAATAGGTCATAAACTTTCATATGTCTCGATAAAACTTCATTCAAGGCAAATACGGCAGGTAAATCAGCAGCAACGGAACAAAATTAACCAAAAGAAGCAAAGCCGCCGACAATCTTTGAACAGACACAAGTTGAGCCCAAAAAAGTATGATTTTATAAAAAAAAGTTTAACGTCCCACCTTAAACAACAATGTACAACAATTGCACTTGCAACTACAATGAAAGTTGTTTACAGTACAAGAAAAACCAGTGATGTGGCAACTAAGCCAACAATCTTTGAGCTGAAACCACTTGAACCGAAAAAAATGAAACTAGAACAATCATCAGTTTCACTTGCAACTACAATGAAAGTTGCTTACAGCAAAAAAATCAGTGATGTAGCAACTAAGCCGACCATCTTTGAGCAGACACCAACTGAACGGAACTTTTGTTTCAATTTCCTTGATACTGAAAAAAAACAAGATCCGGCCACGACTCGAACCCCAAAGCTTAGGGTACAAAAGCAACTTATTTACTTCCAGGCAAGGGAAAAGCAACCTGGAAAATGTTAAGAGAAGGCAAGAAGAGAAGATAAGCAGAGAAGTGAGTCAACTGATTTTGTTAAACTAGTTGTTAACCCGAAAAAAAGTTTGTATTCCAGTTTGATAACGATTGCTTATTGCAAGCGTAATTAATAAGTATGATGCAATTCTGTAGTTATTAGAGCATTTTAAGACCTTTTCTTTAAAAAGCACAAAAAATTATCAAGACCTATATAAGTGAAAATCGTTTTGTTCTGCGGGTCGTCTATCTATTGCTTTCGCCGAGCAAAAATAACCGGAAGTGGTAATCAAACACTGACTGCTTGGATAGACAGACGTCCGTTAGACCAAAAAACAGTCCTACAAGTATCATTAGAGCCAAAAAAAGAATACCTCAACCCATCAGCAAAAAAAACTAAGACTGAATCCGAGTTGGTAATTACTTGACGTTAATATTGGCAACCTTTACATCAAAATGCATGATTCAACGGGTAAATATTATTACCACAGACACTAATTTGTTTGCCTTAATTAACGTTAGGAAAAGATGAGCCCGGGAGATCACTCATGAAAGCCGGCTTCTGACAGGGAAAAAAGTAACTTGTTGCAAAAAGTAACTTGCTACAAAAGAAGTAACCTTGCTCACAACCATGGTAAAAATGATTCAATATGTCTTACCTTGTAGAATCACCGCTCGACGAATGCTGAATATGTTGGTACAATCTTTTCAACCGAGGATCTGCAGCTTCAGTAGATGATTTTGGTATAGGCACTTTTGATACTGCAAGAGCTTGCGCTGAACTACCTCCAACGCCAACCAGATCTTCGATTTTCTTGGCTTGAAATTCATCATCATCTGATTCATCTGATGAATTGACTGCGTAGTCGGGTCTTGAATATACACCAAAATAAACATACCAAAATTTTCAGGACAATGACTTTTACTGGAAAAGATAGCAGATGAGAAATTTCATACAACTACCTTTTTCCTGCGACATATCTAGAAACTTTAACTTTCTCCATAGTAATTTCCCCCTTCTCATTTCGCTTCTGGACTGCGCCACCGGTACCAACTTGGCTGAGACCCCTGGTCTCGTTCTCAAAGTCCATCATATTTGAAACTCGTTATGATGGGTTGGCTTTCTGACACAAAAAAATCTGAAATACAAATTGTTGTAATAAACATTGTCAAATTGTTGGATAAACTAATTAAATAGTTTGATGTAATATGGTACGCTCATAATGCTACGCTTGTAAGAAGGCCCGGGACGGAATTTAGATACAAGCTCGTCAATCTGCGATACTCCCTCTCTACCCGGACATCCCCGCATGAAACTCCACCCGTGACAAACCAGGTTGTAATCGCTTTCATTTCTTTTTTGTTTTCAAAATCCATTTCTCTACAATCCATTTTACAATTTATTCTTTCTCTTATTTTGCCTCTTTTGTACCCTGTTTAGTGAATGTCCGTGCCAAAGTACAGGCAGAAGTGGCTACCCAAAAGATGCCGGAGCCACGGTTCACAGATGCGCAAAGCTAGCCGACCTTGCCGCTACTGTCTCGCGCTACCGCTCGCAGAAACTGAACTGTGTTACTTTAGAAGCCGGCTTTAATGATAACTTCAGGGTTGTCAACTAATTGACCTTTGATGGAATTGAAAATCGACACCTCCGTGGGAATTGAGAATTGGAATTGAGATAACTCCGTGTACAGGAATTTGAATAGGATTTGATTCTTTTTCCGGAATTGCTACAGAATTGATGAAAAACCTGACCTGACAAAAAATTTAACGGCCGACAAGACCGGTAATACTAAAAAATGGCACGGATTATTTGATTGCGCTAGGATTGCGCCAAGATTATTTTTTATCTACAATTCAAGAAAACAATTGTTTTAAAAACCTGACCTGACAAAAATGAGGGGAACATCAAAGCTGCCGTTAGAATAGCTTCCTCGGATAAGTCTGTTGTCCCCCCAAGTGACAAAAGTGTTCTTCACATTCCATCGACACAGGCAACACGTTCCTGGACACTCTTACGGATTTTGTCAATTTGATGCTTGCTGGCAAAGCCCCAGATTTCATTAGACCAGTTTTTGCGGCAGCCAACTTGACGACGCTTGCCAAAAAAGGAAAAGTAGATGACCTGAGGCCCATTGCTGTAGGAGAAGTCTGGCGCAGGATTGCAGGTAAATGTGCTGGTCAATACGAAACAGCGAGGTTCAAGGACTTTTTCAGTCCCTTTCAACTAGGTGCTGGTGCGAAAAATGGTGCCGAAGTTGCGGTCCATGCTGCTCGCTCCTTCTTCGAGTTAGCTTCAGACGATGACGTTTTCCTCAAGTTGGATTTCAGCAATGCTTTCAACACCATGCGTCGTGACAGTATTGCTTTTGCTTTCGAAGAGTTTTGCCCTGAGCTTTTGCCTTTTTTCAACATGTGCTACGAGCGGGAGAGTTTCCTTGTTTATGGTGACCACACTTTGCTATCGAGAGAAGGTTTCCAACAGGGGGACCCAATTGCGTCTTTTGGTTTCTGTCTCGGAGTGCATCGCTGTCTCACTGCAATCTCATCCAAGTTCAAGGTCGGTTATATGGACGACATCAGTGCTGGAAACAAGTGGCAGATAGTTTTGCGTGACCTCGCCAAGTTCATTGACAGTGCCAAAGGTCTCGGGTTAAACCTCAATAACACCAAATGTGAAATCACTGTCTTCACTCAAGACCAGCAAAAGAGCGATATGATTTTACGTGAATTCAGACGTGTCTGTCCTGGTATCAGCAGCGTGAGCACCGAAGACGCTGAACTGCTAGGAAGCCCTCTGGGCCATACAGCTTTACAGCATGCATTGGAAGAGAAGAGAGAGAAAATCGAAAACCTCTGCAAGAATCTTCCGTTACTGCCTTCACACGTCGCGTTTTTCCTGCTCCGACATTGTTTTGCCATGCCTAAGCTCATGTATTTGTTCTGCACTGCTCCTACTTTTGTTTTTATGAGCTCTGTTGAAAAAATCACCTCTTATATCCGTGGAGCTGTTCAAACTGTCAGTAACATTCTGATTACCAACAGAGAATGGGATCAGCTCACATTGCCTATCAAACTCGGTGGTCTAGGCTTACAGTCACCTTCGGACCTTACTTTGGCTGCCTATATTTCGTCTACACTCGCCACCAGTGAAGACGTCTTCAAAGTCATTGCGTCTCAATACACCAGCCAGTCCTTCAAGAATGCCATTGAACTGTGGTCTGAAACTGTTTCTCCTGATATGCCACTGGAAGACAAGCAAAAGTGGCAGAAAAGCTGGTACACTCCGATTGTTTCTCGTAGGCGGTCGTCTCTCCTAGCTAACACCACCTGTGACAGTGACAAAGTTCGTTTACAAGGATGCTCTGTTCCCGGTTCCGGAGACTGGCTTGCTGCTATTCCGTCTGATACGCTCGGTCTCCAGCTGACTGATGACGCTTTCAGAATTGCTACAGGACTTCGCCTTGGTGCCCCCCTTCTTTTTTCATGCAACTGTGCATGTGGCACTAAATGCGACAGCCAAGGCATTCATCCCTTTATATGCCCGAAAATCAAAAGTCGTTTCATCAGGCATCAACTTGGTAATGAAGTCATCAGAGACGCGTTGAAATCAGCAGGAGTACACAGCAAACTCGAGCCGACCGGTATGCTGCGTGACGATGGTAAAAGACCAGACGGTGCTACTTTAGTCCCATGGAAAAATGGCGCAGTTTTAGTCTGGGACTTTACCTGTGTAAACCGACAAGCACAGTCAAATCTATCAACAGGCCTCGAAGATGGTCCCACTGTTGCTAACCATGCTGAATTTCGTAAGCGCCAACACTATTCTGGTCTGCCACGCAACTGCATGTTCGAGCCCATCGCCGTGGAACATCTTGGTGGCATCGGAAGCTCGACATACAAAACTCTATCCTCTATTTCCTATAGAATCAAGACGACCACTGGTGAGAAAAGGTCATTCACGTTCCTCAAACAAAGACTCGGCATTGCACTGCAACGCGGTAATGCTGCCTGCTTACTGGAAGCTTTAGAAGTTAACTCAACGGGCTATAAGCCAACTGCTTTTTAACCTTTTGCTGTATTTACAACTATTGAATTTATTGTTTTAAAAAGCTTTATTTATTTCGCGTAGTATCAATAAATCATAGAATAGCGCCATTTACTTGTTCAGCCAAGCCATGTTTTGTAACATTCGCCCGGAAGATACATATCGACGGATAACAAAACTAAGTCTTAAGACGACTGGCTAACGTCTAAACTCGGAACGTTCTCTGTAATTCGTTGTCGTTTTCTTTAACTTCGATTTTCGTTCTGTTCGCAATCACAGATAAAGTTGTTCTCGTCAGCGCAACTAACGTTGTTGTTGTGTTTTTTCACTCGTTTTTTGTTAAAAATGGCCGTTTCAGCATTTCTCAGAAATGTTACGTCATCACTTCGAAAATTTAAAATTTCAAAATAGCAGAATATCTTGACCTTCACCGTTCTACTAATCATCCGATTAACGTCGTTAATCCTTCAAAATCACTAACTCGGAAGGCTTGCTGCTAAAATTTCGAAGTCTGCACAAATTGCATTTTGGCCATTCTGGTCGAATGTCACATACTCCCCGGACAGTCCGGTCAATGTCCTCATTGAATCGCGCAATATTCGTAAAATGGTTACAGTGCCATCGAACAGAATTTACAAAATGCACGAAATTACTTTTATCCACGTCACATCGACTCACTGCAGAATATAAATGGCATCATACTACATCACTATAGCCTTCAAATTCTCTCATTAACCTGCACTCTGAGGATATGACTTAAGATAAAACATTTTTTCTGACTTCCAGTGTCAATGTCCCGATTAAAACTTCTTCTCTTATATTTAAAAGGTTTTGGCTTGCAGGACAGTCCTGCCAACCAACAAGCTAAAATTATCCTACTACGCTCCTTCCCTTCGGAAATCTTGCTTGTTTATTGTCCTGAATATTAAAACTAAAAAACTTTGTGGTTAGAAAGAACAATGCAACAACCTCCCTCTTCAAGAGATTACTCAAGCCTTCCACGTCACCACAAAGTGATCAATCTTCCTAAGTGATTAAAAACAATCATGCAGGCTGGAATATTTAAATATACTCTTCCCTTAAGCCTTTCTAAATAAATAATAAGTGTCTCTAAAGCCACTTCTGTTAAAATCAAAATGCAAACTTATAAATGCAACAATTTCAAAACTCAACTAAATGTTTCAGTTTTCAATTGCAACTTGGTTGCTTGGTTTCTCACTTGAGTTTTTCACACACACAAAACAATTCTGAGTTTTGACTTTTCTTCATCATCCCTTTGTTCTCTTCTTTTTCGTCGTTTAGAAGTTCTAAAACTTCTAAATTCTTCTAATTTTCTTTCTTGCTGCCTCTTGTTTTCTCGACCATTCGTCAATGCTCCATTTCCTCCTCCTGTGACACTGACTCCGCACTTTCGGTTTCCGTGTCTTGTAGCACGTCATTGACTATCCTGACGCTGTTGGAAGCCGTCCTCCAACACTTCTGCTCTTCCACCCTCTGTTTACAGCAAGGTAGGGGATCCACGTTTGATTCTCTGTTTCTACAGAAGCTGTTGTGGAGACACAACGTCACGTTTCTCTCCAAATCTTCTTTCAGCATCTCTGCCTTCTCATTTCCACTACGCTCGCTCGTCCTGGAAGTTCTTTTCACAGCGGTGGTCACTGCATTCCGATGAGTCACGAAAGCTCGCTTGAAAGCTCCTGCCCCAATGTCCAGCTGATATTCACTGTACACTCTGCCATGTTTACAACACTCGTACAACCATGCAGTCATGTTAGCTCTGAACCATGGCATCAATCGTTTTCTTGCCCATATCTTCTTCACTTCCATCGGAATGTTTAGAACTTTGCACATTGTCTCAAAAAGATCTAAATCTTTCAGACAATCTAATTTCCGCAATTGTTCTCTCGTTGGTGCCTCTTGTCTATTATTTTCTCTCACATGAGCTTCCAGCCATCGTATCGCCATCATAACTCCCACTATCACTATTTTTACGGGCTGTGATGAATCTGGTAAACCCATGGAGAGCAGCTCTCCAGAGTCCCAGATCAACATCAGATTACTACGCTTGGGATACCACCAGGTCTGCA